TAGTGACTAAGGATGACATATTCCTTAGGCACAGCTGTTAATTAATACCCCATACAGCCTATGGCAACTAAGGGACTTTTCCTCTTTTATAAATATAGATGGGTACAAATGATGAAAAAAATAGGTCCTTGAGATTTTTATCTCCTTCATGATCGTGTGAAAGTTAATACAATTTAACTGAGTCCCAAACATCAACTTTCAACAAGTGATAACTTTGTTTGTATTGAGTCTGCACATATCATAACAAGTTTATTATTCTTATAATCTATATGTTTGTAACGGGTCAAATTTTAAAGGGGGGTAGTATTCTCACGACCATCACAAATAGCCTAAATTTGGTACACACAAAGACAGCACCAAAAGCTGGACGTGGTGGTGTCATGTGCAGGGGATGACCTAGGTTCTCAACCCCGACACTAGGAGTGATACGTGAGAACCGCTTGAGAAGCACCCCGAGCAGTCAGTTGTCCTTATTTCAGTTGGCTTGTTTTCAAATGAGACTAAACAAAGGAAACTGAACAAAACAAAGTCTGTTCTTGGTCAACTAGACATGATGATGTTGGATGGGACAAGTTTTAAGAACTTGAACAAGTTTACATTTTTGACCTGACTACCCAATAATTTTTTTTTTTAAATATACAACCGACTTCAAACGCTCTAAAAAGAATGAAATAATTTCAATAAAGTAAACTTTTGTATTAGGCAAGCTCACGTATTTTAAGTCGGCGCAGCTCCATGATAATTTTTGATACAAAATTGAAAGAGGGTGTCCATATTGCAGGTGACTATCTATAGCTAAAGGTGTTAATCTGCATGTCTTTTTCATAGTTATGCGTTAAGTGTTATTTTATTAACGTAATCAGAGATCGGCATTATAGTGGTATTAACGAGTATCTTTAAAAAGAATATAACTCATTTAAATGTTTCTAACTTGGAAAAGTAACGTTTTAATACTAAATTAGCTCCTTTTCCCTATCATAATATCAAACTAAATTATTTTCCTATTCATATAGAACATTTGTGTGTGTTATTTTCATAATGCATTTATTCTGAAGTAAACATAAAATACAAGAAAATATTTCGTTTAGTATATAAACAAAACAGTTCAGTATATTTTTTATATATTTATGTTATCCAGCTACAATTTATTGATTTTCAAAATACACACACAATATTTAATTTCAATCATATTTGCAGTTTGAGCCGCGCCGACTTGAAATACGTAAGCTTGCCTAATACAAAAGTTTACTTTATTGAAATTATTTCATTCTTTTTAGAGCGTTTGAAGTCGGTTGTATATTTTTACAAAAATAAATTATTTCATGATTTTTAGTGACTGTATAATTTTCTATATATTAATTACTTGAGAATTTTTGATAAGCAAAACTGTTTGAAACAATCAAAAGTTCCACGGAACAATCATTATTTTAAAACTGCTTGAGTCACCTGTTCAGGTTACATAATCAATGGGTATAGAAATAAACATCTTTAGATATTCCTTAAGAAAGAAAGAGTTGTCCATTACATTAGGCCTAATGAAAAACTAATTGTCTTTTCTAGATACATTGAAATGTCAGACATCATCGTTTCCTGCAATCGGTGTACTTCTACATTATAAAAAGTAATACAGTAACGTCTCAAGCCTTTTGGAACAATATGAAAGTTATTCCTCAGCTACCAGAACTAAAAAATCTCTCAAAAGTGGAAAATTGGTCGTTAACACCATACTACCTTTCGTACCTTTGGAAAATATTATATGAAAGATTGGTTCAGCTATAAGTGGTGTAAGTCATGTAGGGGGTTTTGTTTGCTCAAGATATAGCCTAGTCGAAATTGCAAATCATCTTCCTCTAGGACTTTCCGAAGCAGGCATAATAGTATTGATATGTTATAGTAACTGGGTAGAGAATATAATTAAACATTCCACATCTGCAAATGAAATATGTATATGAAAGATTGGTTCAGCTAAAAGTGGTGCAAGCCATGTAGGTGGTTTTGTTTGATCAAGATATAGCCTAGTCGAAATTGCAAATCATCTTCCTCTATGACTTTCCGAAGCAGGTGTAATAGTATTGATATGATATAGTAACTGGGTAGAGAATATCAATAAACATTCCACATCTGCAAATGCATGTTTAGTAATTAAAATATTTAACACTTTTGAGACAATTGACGATTATGCACTGTCACACTTCTTAGGTCATGTAAGTGATAATTGCATTTGAATTATATTTAGACCTGTTTTACGAATGTTTTGGTTTTCACAATACACCTTAATTACTTGTCAATATCATACAGCTATTCACTGAAACATATATGTTTTTGTAAGTCAGAATATTCAATACGTTAAAATACATTTTTTATAGTAACCAAAACAAAATGCATTTTTCTCAATGTAATTCAGGCTCCATGGCAAGAAATAGTTTATTGATCAATATGAAGCATCTGTTTCATGAATAATTGTCTGTAGCTTCATTTAAATGGTTTCAACTAACAGCTGTAGGAATGTTATTATTATTTATTGCCTTCTCTGCACAAATGTAAACAATCTGCACAAATGTAAACAATCTGCATAAATGTAAACAAAATAAATGTTGAATATTTAAGGTTTTCAGAATTTTTCACCGAAACAAATATTATACTTAAACATAATATATAAGGTACCAAATAGAAACTCACCTGGTTATTTTGGTGGTGGAACCACTCTGATCGGTAAAAGAATCACAGAGAAATTGGTGAACATACATAGAAAAAAAAAAACATCGCCACAAACAAATTGAGAACCTCCTCCTTTTAAGACCTACGGTAATAGCTACTTCCCTATAGGGAAATTCGCTAAAAGTATGTTCAACAAGCCAGTTGTATAGCCTATCTTTAAAAACCAACCCAGGCAACGCTCTTGACTCAGAGTGCAATACATTAAATAACTTTAAGCTCATGATTGAATGGTTACTGGTACATTTACTTAGTCTATGGGACGGAATTTCAAGTAGAGAGTTAGATCTAGTGTAATGAGGATGGAAATCTTTTTTAACAGCCAAGTCTCCTAATTTTAATTTAACATCAAGTAAACACACATATATGTACAGGTTAATGACAGTCAATATTCTAGTTTTGATAAACAAAGGTCTACAATGGGCTTTGAGAGCTGATTTGGTTACTATTCTAAGTGCCTTTTTCTGAAGTAACAAAACATCACTTATATTACTACAGTTACCCCAGAGAATCAGACCATAGCTTAACACTAACTAAAAAAATGCAAAATAGGCTACTCGGATATATATCTCAACAGTTTTTAACCTATTAACTAAATAAATAACTCTGACAGTTTTGAACATACTAAATCAATGTGAGCTGACCAAGAAAGGCTGCTGTCAATCAACACACCCAGGACTTTTATGGGCCTAACCTCTTTACAAATTACACCTGAGCCCAAATCTTTGTTTTTTGTATGGCAAACTAGGTGTTGTGTCTTATCTACATTAAGAAGGAGATTGTTGGTCACTAAACCAATCCCCAGCTTGTTTCATTGTTTGTTCTACAGATAACTTTAATCTGTTGAGATCATGGTGAACAGTTAGGAACGTTGTATCATCTGCAAACATTGTGGTTTGAGAACCCTCAATACTAAGTGGCAAATCATTGACAGAAATCAAAAAGAGTAGGGGACCAAGGACCGAGACTTGGGGAACCCTAGTTTTTAGAACAACCACGGATGCCACAGTGTTCTAATTTACTCATTGAGAAACCATGATCGACACAATCAAAAGCCTTGCTCAAATCACACACAGTCACCTGAGCAAGACTCCTTCCCTCAAAAGCTTCCAAAATCCCAAAAACAAAGCAATCAATGGCATCCGTAGTTGACCTTCCACTGAGAAAACCAAACTGGCAGAAAAAAAGGCTTACTCCCCCTAAATCTATCAAAGTGTTTACAAACCTGGTGCTTTACAATCCGTTCGATAAATTTACCTAAAATAGGCACTAATGACACTGGGCAATAATTTTTGACACTATTTTTGCAGCCCTTTTTGTGAATAGGAACCATTTGTGCTATTTTCAGCACTTCTGGGAAAACTCCCTCCGTTATCGTTATGTTTATGATATTTGGATTTAAATATCAGTGGTTTTTGATGATTTAATTATGCATGATAACTCTTGATGGAACGTTAACGTTAGGACACTCAAAGCCAAACTATCAGTTAGGGAGAAAAGGTTAACAGTAGCTTTGTGTTCTAAAATATTAACAGGATGCTCAGCTTACCGGGAAACCAAAAGAACCGGGAATTGTATGTGAATTTTGTTGACCGGGAAAAATTTGATAAATTGTAGGTAAATGTCGTTTGGAACCAGAAATTTTGAATAACCGCCGATACCCTAAAGCGATATAATCATCACAATATGATCATGATGCCTCCATGATCCAGGAGTTTATACAAGAGAAATTGATATTATCACTGTACAGTCATAATAGTAAATTTGTTTCTAATTATCTGATACAATTTTAATGCTTATACGGCTAGTCTGAACAACTTAGTATTCTAAACAAGGTATTTAATTTTCTCAAGACAATAATTTATTAAGACCTTGAGAATTTTAACTAGTGGTTTAAGTCACTTATTTCATAATTAAATCCTTCCTACGTTGTACATTAATAGAAGGAAGAATGTTCTTTTCTATTTTTTTTAATTATTACCGGCATAGGTTATCATGCAACCTAACTTATATTTTAAAAAATTGTATTTTATCTTAACTATTCACAGTAGTAGTGGGCCTGAGTGCAAACCAAACAGAAGTTTTTCAACCATTGTTTTCTGTATGTACTGTAATTCAAAATAGTAAAATCCAATGTAAGATTTAGAAGATATAAAAATAAATGGACTTTTTGATGAATTGATTACACAAAGCTACACGGATCATCTTCCTCCATTCTCACCTTGCACTCATATTTGGCTTAGGTGTGCATAAATAACACTAAGCTTTAAGATCTAAATCTTTACCTCTGTGTTTGCCCCATTTAATCGCTGCTCTCCACAATTCTATTTCTGGAACCACAAGTTCGTCCTGTTCCAAAATCTTGAGGAAACCGTCAGAATTCATCGACAAAAACTCTGGGCTTGCTAACACTTGATCCGTCTCAAATCTCAAAATCTATTAAAGAAAAAAATAGTGCATTAGTTGCAACAAAATCTAAATCAATAGTATTAATTTTTTTCGCATCCAAGTTAGTTGTCACATTGTGATTGATTAATTTATTTGTTACGTTTATAAATATTCTTCCACCACCTCTTCTATGTTACAACTACTCCCAATATAATGATGATGGTATTTTTTCATCCATCGGAAAAAGCAGCTCTATTTCACAGAGAACATGCATCTGCAAGTTGTAAAATAGTCAAGTGCTTTGGGTTTAAAAAATTGTCTGGGCTATGTAGGCTACACATTGTTTTACTGTCAATTAGTGATGGACAAGAACCGAAACTTCAACATTTTTTTATCTCGAGGCTTTGGGCGGGATTGAAATACTAGCGGGATATTTTCGAGACAAGATAAAAAAATAATAATTTTTAATAAAAAATTTTAATTAAAAAAAAGGAAATTTAAAAACATTTCAATTAAAAAAAATTCAATGTGGGAAACTTTCAAGGACTCAATATCTAGGAGATCATGCCATAACCTGAAAATTAACAAAAAGCTCTGTCGTGGCCAAGACTCAATGCTTAAGGTGTAATCTACTTCACACATCTAATTTCTACATACCGAAAGTCTATGTACAAAAGACACTCAAAATAACCTTGGTAATGGCAGAGTCCAACTCCAGATGAGTGTAACACGCAGGGTTGTTCATCAGGGAACAAATGTTGTCCTTGTTCAAAAGAGTCATCAGTCTAGCAGCCAGGCTGTCTTTCAAAGGTTTCATCAAATACTTCTCCGCAACATACAGTAAATTATCAGCCTCATCAAATTCCATTGTAGCAGTAGTGTCATAGCCATAAACATATCTGAAACAGGTTAAAATTGTGTAACTTACTTCTAGATGACAGTAGGTAATTAACAAGATTTTAAAACCAATATTTAAATTATTGCTAATACAAATTTTAAGTTTCAGGACAATATTAATACGCTATCTAGTAAAGAATGGTGAGTCGGTGGCTCAGTCGGTAGCGTCACAGACTTCGGGCCCAAGGCTGCGATGTCGTGGGTTCGGATCCTGGTCACTGCCAAAAACATGTCATCAGTAGGCCTACAGTTCACCTTTGTACTGTACGGGCTCACCCCTTGCTTTGCTGGATACGTTCCACGCACGGGCAGTTGGTCTATGTGTACGGGCAAATGCAAAGTTAAAAGAGGCTGCCAACCTCTAAAAAAACAAATATATATATATATTATATTTTATTCCATTTAGGCCTACATTTACTACACACCTTTAGGAGTCACAAACATTATTATTGCCCACTCCTGGGGATAAATAAATATTTCAAATATTTGACAATTTAAGTGTGGTAATTAAATATAAATTAAATTTGATGAATTATTTCCAACCAAAAACAATTAATTGGATGGATGGACATGGAATCGCTAAGTTCCATAATTAGGTAGTTTACAATCAACTCACCTCAACATTCCCCTGAAGGTTTCAGGATGGATGTCTTTGATAGGAACATCTTTCTTCTCAGCCAATTTACTGTCTTCTAATTCTAGTCTGAAAACTTCACTGTGAGCCATCAACATCAACTTGACAGCTCCAATCCTTTCCTTAAAAAGGTAAATTTGACATTAGTAATGTGCAATTAATTAATAATAACAGTTGTAGTTTGACATTTTTATAAGCAGAGCCCAACACTTGTTAGGTGTGTTGCTGAACAGTTTTCATGATTTTAGCATGAAAAAAACTTAAGTTATTTTTTATGAATAGATATAGGCAGGTATTTAAATATTACTTACTAAAGTACATGTTGCTCGAAATCGAGCAATTGCAAAGAAGTAAAGTAGTTATTTAAACACAAATGTAAATTAAAGTAGGAAATATTTAATTTCAACAAAATCAGTAAAATGTACCAAATGCGTTTCGTTGAATTGAAAAGTAAATAACAGCAATTAAATTATACAGCTGATCAAAATGTAAACAATTATGTTCTTCATAAGGATAACATGGGAACTTTCAAAGCCACTGGGGCAGAGCACAAGGGACTATTTAAAAAATGTAAGGCCAGTTTGCAAATCTACGCGACACGCTCTTTCCAATGAGACGTCAATGGATAAAATCGGTTAAGAAATGGCGGAGGAGTTCAACCGACAAAGTTTCATGTAGCGTATTAATTATATAGATATTACCCTATTATTACATTATTACTTGTAGCCAATATACAGAGTGAATAAAAAGTCAACCCCCCCCCCCCTCTAATATTTTCGAAGTAAATATAGAGATATCCTTTTGGTGGCCCAACAATCTTAGCAGGAAGTTTCATTTTATGATTTTGAAATTTTTTAGTGTCCCTCAAAAAGGGGGAATTTCAGGGACAACTCAAAAATTTTAAATGTAAACCCCCTTCAAGTGAGACCTCATTTTGAAGTGTTTACGAAAACTTAAAGAATAGTGAAAACCAGAGTTTGCTATCTCTTCTCTATCTAAAATGGTAACTTAGCCGGGCCGCTAGTTAATTTGTGTAGGTAATAGCGTCATCGTTCAGCTGAGGTCACATGAGGACCATTCCAGGCTAAATAGCTACATTAGTAAAGAGTGGGCTTACCATGACTATTGTACCGATTTTGTTGTAAAAGGCAACAAATCAATACAAGTTAACGCGAAGAACAGTCAGCTGTTTTGAACAATAGATCAGTATAGATCAGAATGCACCACGCACTAAAGAAGTGGAGGGGATAAGGTCTAGTCGGATGGTCACTTGTTTCCAGTAGTATCAGTCCCTCTCCAAATCTCAACGTAACTAGTTCGGTAACACTTTCGTTTGTGAAAATTAAATTCATTTCGCGGCGTTTGGTCGGGCAATCTCAAATTTCCTTAAAGTCGTTCAGCCTATATCCCTAAGGGATATAATTGCCTCGCGATCGGAAATTAGAATCAGTGTCGTTGTCAAAAAGTGCAAAAGTTCGTTACCGGCCAAACGCAGTCCGCCATTTGAAAATTTCTCAAACGTTTCACGAGTTCAATTGATCGCGTCTTGTAGAATACCGGCTAGTTACATTTCCCAATCCCTTCCCCTTTGTTTGTGTTATATTTGTGGACGTCCAAACTGTAAGTAATTTGTGTCATTTTATTTGTTAAATTTAGATTTCAGTGAGTCGCACTTTTGTAAATTTTCCTGTCTTGCTTTGTTAATTCATGTAGAATAAGCACATGTTCCCCGGTTCGATCCCAATTAGCTGATTTTCATATCCATTCATATTGTAACAATCCTCTTTATTTATTAGACTGTGGTAATACAATAGCATTAAGAATAAATGGATGAAAATGTTTTTATAGGGTAATTCAGAGTTGCTTTGTAATATTTTTATATAGTATTTGAATTTTGCACAGAGTCATTATTAAAGGTACAGTTCGTTAAAGAGTGTCACAATCAGTATTTAAAGCTGGGGAATCAAATTAATATCAAAGGAGGGATTAGGTAGCTGGTTCGGCTGAATCCGGAAGTGTTGTCGGAGGATTGTGTCAGCTTGCATATAGATGAACCGCCAAAGTGCCAAATTAGCTATAAAACAGTAATCGACGTTCCAATAAATACTACGATTAAACGCAATAATGTTTAATCAGTTGACCTTCGAGAATCGACCTTCATATTTACATCGTTGGCCAACGAACAGGACTTGCTTGGCACTGGTCATCTCAAATTAAATTAAATACCACTCTCCCGTTGACACCTTCGAGATCGGTGTGAAACCGCGCCAAATATTCCCCTTTGATAAATCCGTTCAACGTTTTCAAACAAATCAATTCAGTCTGATTGTGTCACTCAAGGTCATATTTTATATTACACAACACAATCAGAAATTGTCAAACGAAGTCATTGTAATTCTTTAATACTGCTCAATAAATCAAATTGTTACTCACTTTTTAGTTCTCAATAACCTTGGTAATTCAGTACATGCTATAGTATCTAGTTGGTAAACAAAAGGTAATTCAGTAAATAATACGCCACTGCAAAAGATTCACCTTTTAAGTGCAACACTAAACACTAGTGTAGTAGTGAGCAAGTAAATTCAGTGTAGAATTAAGACTGGTAAATTGCTCTCATTAAAGGTATCACATTTTTGGAAGAACCATAACAGTACCAAGGGCGTCCCCTAAGGACCTTTGGGGAATATTTATATTTTGCAGGGCCCACACATATTTTTTATAACATCAAGCTTCCACTGCCAAAAGCTCTGTCTGATATTTTTATTTTCTAGAGTTCTTCCAACCTAGGGGCAACCAACATTTGTAAAGAATTCATTAAAGAGCATTGCAAGGAGTAAATATATTTAAATACAATATTTAAATATATAAAAGTAGTAGTAAAGAGCTTTTTTATTTTTTTCTTTACACTATGTCATTTATTTTTCATAACCATGTGTTTAAGAAAAATAAGAGGGAAAAACGAAGTGAGATGCTAATATCTTTCAATAAACCAGTCTTTGAAGTGTATACTGCTGCAATAGGTAATAATGCTTTTACTGTGTTCACATATGCATGCCAATAGTTGTTTAATTTCATTCAGCGTACCGTTTTATTCATACATATTAGACAGTACCTTCATACTCAACCCTGCGCAGGTACCACCAAATGCCATTTGGCAGTGTTTCGCAAAAAAATCCCGCCAACGATTATTTCGAGATCACAACTTATCACGCTTGTTATGAGCAGTCAGGCTATGACGCTATCTTAGTAGTGACGTTTTGCTGTGACGTATATTGTCGGAGGGGTGATAAGAGAAAGAGAGGGAGTTATTGCTGATCTATTGTCAGTTTCACTTAGGGATGTTGCGATACCAGTGCTTTTCGATATTTAGTATCGATACCGTATCGAAAAGAAGTATCGATACCGGCTCAGTATCGGAACTAAGTATTGATACCGTCAGTATGGTATCCATTCGATACCAGTGACATCATATTCTGATTTACTGATCTTTGATTAAAGTTTACCCACTCCAGTACAGTACAGCCAATATAGGATTCGAGCTGCTAACTACCGAATTATGTAAAAAGTTTATAAAAACTAACCAAACATAGACAACATCTGTTTTAAATTTTATCTTCAAGTAAAAATTGAAGTAGGCCTACCTTATGTTCTAGACCTGAATAGAGATATTAAGATGCTGCTGGTATCGTATCAGTATCGGTTGTTCCGATATTTACTTGGTATCAATACCAAGAGGCCAGTATCGTATCGTAAGAATTGGAAGGTAATATCTGAGGCAAATGGTAAACGCTCGTGCCTTCTGAGTGGTTGTTTTCAAATGTTGGAGCACCAGTGTGATAAAAAAAAAACATATTTTCACCCAAATATTTAGTTTCTATGTCTAGCTTATCTGATATGTGGTTTGAGTAAATTATGATTCACTATTCATTCATGGAACTTTACATAGGTAACATATAAAAGTAAAACATGTATAGTCAATGGTCAAACTTGAGGGTTTGGTTGCAAAGAGTTATTTTTATTACAACCCAATGTTAGCAACGTTAAGCAAATAAAATTAAACCATGAATTTTTTTACATCAAATTAAACTAATATAGATGACACCACTACAGTTTTTTTTAACTAGGTAAATCTATTTTTTCAATTTAGGCTGATGGTAAACATAAATGTGTGTATTCTTTGGGAATGTAATAAAATTTACTATTAAAAAGATAAATTATATAGGCCTAGAAAATAAGGTAGGCCTACTTGATCTTTTACTCGAAGGTAAAATTGAAAACAAAGTTTGGCTATGTTTGGTTAATTTTTATGAACTTTTTACATTTAAAATTAACTTAGGTAGTTCTTAGCAGTTCAAATCCTATATTGGCTGTACTGTACTGGAGCAAGTGAACATTAATTAAAGACCAGTGAATCAGAATATTTTCATGTTGTTAGCCACCGGATCACTGGTAGGCCTATAGTAATAAATAATGGTTTAAATACCTTATACTGTCAAAGTGATCCTTTGTAGTCCATGTAGGCTACTGCAGTTTCATTCCCTAAAGGAACTTCATTAGGCTTCAAAAGACAACCAAATTTCATTCCAGAGGAAGTAATGGTAAAAATCAATCAAAATCACATTCACATAAATCATGGACAAACATACGAACATAACACATAGACATTTCAAAAACTCCAGTACCGAAAAACACAAGTTTGTGTGTTCGTCCATGATTTATGTGACTTAATGTGATTTTGATTCTGATGGAAGTTCCTTTAGGGAATGAAACTGCAGTATCCTACAAAGCATCACTTTGACAGTAGGCCTATAAGGTAGGCCTATTTATATAGACCATTATTTATTAATCAGAATATGATGTCACTGGTATCGAATAGATACTAGGCTATAAGTTACTGACAGTAACGATACCAAATATCGGAAAGACAGTGGTATCGCAACATCCCTAGGCCTGAATAATTTATCTTTTTAATAGACAATTCTATTACATTACCAACGCACACATTTGTGTTTACTATCAGCCTAAATTGAAAAAAAAGATTAAGTCAAAAAAACTATCAAGTATCATATTTATTTGTTTAATTTGATGTTAAATAGTGTGCCGATTTTAAATCCCAAAGGTTTAAAATCTGAGACAAGGCAACGGACAAGTCTGTCCAACCATGACGTAACGCGGATTGAGATGAGAGGGGAGGACTGAAACTGTGCCACGCGCAAGTCACTCGTAGCAGCGCCATCAACAAGAAGGTCGCTTGTTGCCGGTGTAGGACAATTTAATCTTTATCTAATTCGTAGCTCGGAAATTCGCGTTCGGGTGAAAATTGTACATGCATCAAATGATCGTAATTGTCTAAATTTCGCCTAACTGCAATTGGGGGAAGTGTTTTAGGTACTACTTTTAAACCGAGACAGTTGAGATTGCCAGATTGATTGTTGTGTTCGTAAGGAAATTCGTACATGCATCAAATCGATAGTAAATGTTAATTTCTTATTGAGTCATAAATTGTCGTGACGGTATTTTCAATTGAATCAATAACGCCAGCTCGAAAAAAAGGAATTATTTGTCCTACACAGTGAAAAAACCGTTGTCATGAAAATTCCGCTTGGTCAGACAATGCTAGGGGTCATGTTTTAAATGTTCGTTCGTGTGTGAATCTTTGTCGGTATGAATGTTAAATGTGTCAACATGTGTAAGTAAGTAGTCTAAAATGTTTTGTATTGTTTGTGTTAGTTGTGAAATAGTTTAGTACTGCCAATCTGCCGTATCTCACATTCATAGTCCATTTTATAGTTTAGCATTTAATCATGTCTCAGATGGTCTGACTATTTCATGTCTCATTTGGTATGTTGAAATCCCATGGTCACAAAATCCAGAATGAAAATTATTTTTTTTAATTGACACATTGCAATAAAGGTTAAGGTTGTGGTAGAAATTCTGATCATTTTAATATTATTTACTAGCCTAAATTGAATTTAAAAAATCAATTAGGTAGGTCCTAATTTAAGGGCCAAGTGAATGAATGAAATGAAATAATAATTGAAATAATATTTTATTTCCCATTAATTAATTATTTACAGACAAGTAAGCCTACATGGTATTTTTTTTTCTTTACTTAAATATGAAACAGCAAAATATTACTCACTAGATAACAAAACAAAAATTATATAGGTACTGTAGAAATAAGTAAATACAAGTGTAAACAAACAAAAATACATTCTATAAGAAAGGAAACAGTCTACAAAGGCAGGGCCTGTGCGTAGACTCGAGTTGCGAAAAAATTAATTTAAATGGAAAGTAAAAAACAGGCCTATATGGAGAAAAAATCGTATAATTTAAACTTTTTTTATTTGTCTTGCTTGAAGCTGAATTTTTAGTGTTCTGGAACAAATTGACGGTAAAAAAAAACTCTTTGTGCAAACAGAGGTAATTTATAAAATCTGGTGAAGATTGAAGAGGAGAGGTGGAGTGTGGTGTATTAGTCAGTCACTGAAAGTGGTGTATCAGTGATTGTGTAGGGTCAACGGTCAGGTCCGCGCAACGCGATAACGGCCTCGGTGTCCTGAGCTCCACACCTCTTGGTACCGGTATCGATACCAAGTAAATATCGGAACAACCGATAGGCCTACCAATACAATACCAACAGTTTTTACAATAAAAAAATGTAGAAAAGATGTCACAATAAAAATATCGATTTACCAACTGGTATCGATAGTAGGCCTACTGGTATTTATCGCAAGATCCCTAGTTTCGCGCTGATCCAAAATTGTCAATGTGGACCTTGAGTAGGCTACGGTACGGTATCTTAAAAGAGGTAGCCTTCTTTCACACCAGCGCAGTGCGGCACCGTCCCTCACCGTCGATGCGGGACGACCCGCAAGGCCCTTTTACACTAGCTGCCCGGATCCGGGCGTTTCCAGGCTGAAACTTTGTGATTTTTTGATATATTTCATTCAAATAAATAAAAGAAAGCTGGTTATGCTGCTTGTTGTATCCGAAAATAAAATACAGTGCCCCCTTTGCTTAATAATTGGATCTATGCAGTATGTGTAAAAATGTCGATTCATTGTATTTAAAGTTATGTTGACAGCTGTGGGGTAACGTATCTGAAACATCTGTAGAATAGTTTGTAAAAATTTAAACATGCAAATGATAGATGGTTTGCTGCAGTGGGGGTCTCGTCATACGCACCTTCAAACTAAACCAAAATATAAATAAAGCTTGACCATTGGCCAAACTAATCAGCTCTATATAAATTTTAACCTCCATACCAAAAACAACAAACTTCCCTATTAAGTTAACAAGAGTATTACAAAATCAACCACACTCAACCACTGATCCACGCAGACTGTAAAAAATACTGATTTATGTGAGGGTGAAACCAGCCCGTCCCGCGCAAGTGTGAAAGCATACATAAGAGCCCATGATATAAAAACTATTCATGCGGTTTCAACCCGCATTGGAAGTTTAGGTTCGTGCAGGTGATTTTCAACCCGGACAGAGGTTTAGGTCTGTCCGGGTCAACCCGCACTGGTGTGAAAGCTCCCATATGATTCAATAGTCTAAACAGCTTCGTCCGGTGCGGGACGGTCCCGCACCACGCTGGTGTGAAAGAAGGCGTAGGAGAGCCCTGACTTGGACCAGGCCTAACTTAGATGTATACTTTTAAAAATAGATCCAAGAAGTAGGCCTAGGCCTAACCCTTCTTTGCTTTAATAATTTAGGTGACCACCAATGGTTGACCTATCAATTCTCATCCCTAGGGCCTAGACTAGCTTGGTTGATGAAAATATATTAGGCCTAATGGGCCTGCGCAAGTTATTACCAATTGTGAGCCTAGTAGAATTTCTAAGGGACAAGATAAAAAATCTGTCGATATGTTAATAGGAATAAGACACTTACTGGTTCTTCCTGACCTTCTCTTCTAACTGCGAAATAGCAGTCAAATTTTGGTTTGGATGAAAATAAAAACCGTATAAAGTTGGGAGGAGGATGGACTGATTCCATTTTGGTTAGTTAGTAGGACTACTTAGTACGTAGACCTAGCCTAAGTTAGGCTGGCTGGCTATGTGCTATGTGCTATGTTAAGCCAAAGCTAGATAAGAAAATTTCAACTCAAACTTTAAGATATAATAAAATCCTTCTTAAATTCACATCACGGCACGATCACTTCACAAAGACTGAAAGACTTGAAGTTTGCTCTTGCTGTATGAAGAAATGAGTACTTGAATGGAAATGAAATCGTCACGTGCACGTGGTCGTCGCGTCGGTCGACTCCGACTTCCGACTCCGACTGGTTGAGTCGAGCGTGGTGGAGCGTGTCGAGTCGAGCGAGGTCGACTGGTCTCAATCTCAATCTCTCAATGGTCATATCCGTTATTCGATTCCTCCTCTCGTCCTCGACCCTCGTTCAATCCAATCCAATCCAACTAGAATATACTGGGAACCTGGGGAACGAGCTGGCGTAGTGGTTAGAGCGCGGAACTTCAGTCACTGAGGTCCCGGGTTCGATCCCCGCCAAGTTACCAATGGATTTTATCCAAGTGATAATGCCGTAACCCCTAGGTCTAGCCTGAAGTAATGTGAAAAACAATCCCAGGCTCGTGCTTAGCGTCCTATAAAAAAAACCAGATATACTAATATACAGTATGTAATTAAGTATTAAACAAATCTGTATTTTTTAAACTGAAATAGATAGAAATATTCTGTTTGTAGCATTGATTTTTAACAAAGAATCCGCAATTTTTTACACAAAAAAATGTTCAACCCTTTAACGGGGTAGGGGGTGAGGGTGATTTATTTTTAAAAAAAAACCCCTGAGTGACCCCTCATTTTGGAGGGTTTCTCAAAAGAAACACAATGACGCAAACCCAAGGTAGATACTGTATTTCATCCCTAGCTTAAATGGCGGGTATTCCAAAATTTGATTTATGTGAAAAAGCACCCATTTTGGAATACCTGCCATTTTGGCTAGGGGTGAGATATTCACTTCGGGTTTGCGTCATTGCGTTTCTTTTGACAAGCCCTTTAAAATGAGGGGTCACTCAATAGGGGTTGCTATTAAAGGGGTGAACAATTTTTGTTGGTGTAAAAAATTGCGGAACCTTTGTTACAATCAATGCCACGAACAGAATATTTCTATCTCTTTCAGTTTAAAAAACACAGATTTGTTTCAATACATAATTTACACACTGTATATACACAGTTTGAACGCTCACCACTCGGGCGGGATTTTCAAATCAATATAGAAGGAGTTGGCGCGGCTGTCACGATTCCATCTGCAGAGTGCAAACTTTATCGAAAAATACAGTATAAACAAAATTTGTTCAAGCTATTCAGTTGAACTAATTGTCATCTACAAAGCCAACCATCGAGTTTGATTAAACAACTTGAAGGATTCAACTTTGTAATATGTACTGACTCACAATCGAGAGTCCTAGAGAGTACTTATAATGGAATTGAGAAGAACGGATTAACGTCAGAAATTATTTATCTTGCTATGGAATGTGAAAAAATATAATTTTCAAATGGGTACCAGGACCTTGCGGTATACTACACAATGAGTTAGTCGTGCTGCATGGTGCACAAGGCTCTTGTCATACAGGAGCCACAGTACCTTCTTGAGTGGCTCTCTTTCCGGGAGGATTTCTCTCCAGCGCAGTACCCGCCATGGAGGTCCCCAGCTTCACTTTCCAAGAGTATGAGGCTTGAGTTTGGAAGGAGAAGCTTCTCGTACTTCGGCCAAAAGCTGTACAACGACCTCCCCTCTGGCCTCAATAAATATGCCTTGCCATTTTTTAGAGCCAAAATTAAGGAGCTGTACTGTTATGATTAGTTGTTATTCAGATTTTCTTTTTTCTGTTTTGTTATTGTTCCTGTTTATTTGTTTGTTAGTTAAGTTATTGTTACTTATAATATGACGAGAGTTGTTCTGAAAAGCAGTTGTACTGAGAAACGCTTGATCAATAAAGGCATTTTTATTTATTTATTAGGAAATTCTGCTTGATAGACCCCAAGCAGTAAAGACATTCAACCCTGGCCATCCTCAAAATCCCATTTTAACATTAGAAATATCCCAATCTTCTTGAAAAACAAATTACAATAATAAAAATAACCATGTGAAAGTAAATATGCTAACAAAAATTGACAATTTCATTGTACAACCATGTAACTAACAAACTGCCCATTTCAGATGACAATAATTATACTAGTCCAAAGGAAGCAACCAAACCGAAAAAAGTTATAATTATGTAAAATATAGAACCTCGTGGCTGCATTGTTTATAAAAAGCAAAGCCGGCCATTTTTGGCAAAATTGAAAAAAAAGCTAAATGCTCAAAAGTTGTAAAATGTTATTCTATTTATCGCAGTTTGAAGAATTTGCTTAAGCCTTGAAAGTAACCGTCGATTTCGACCCTCTACGTAGGCGTTATTGGTTACACCATTTTCATTGCGAAAATGATAGATGAACAGTTTAAGAGTTTTTATCAAAGTATAAGGCAATATCCTCGCACGTTTTTGAATTATTAAAGAATGTCCATCACATCTTTTGATGAGCTACTCTGCGGTTGAAGCCACATTTAACGAAGATCAGTACACAATTCAGGAATTCAATCAGTGCTGAAGAAAGATTAACGATAACTCTAAGCATCTTTCACCTTTAATTTAATCTCCAATCAGTTGCTGAACATCTCTCCTCCAACTAAATTCCAACATTTCTCACGTTCAGTCCTATCAGAATACTCTTGAAAGTGTATATCCCACAGTAAATAAATCTTTTGAAAATGGAGTTTTTCCTAGTAAACTAAAGACACCAAGGTAGTGCCTATCCACAAAAAGGATGATAAAGATCAAGTAAAAAACTACAGGCCAATGGCAGTCCAAAGTGCATTTTCTAAGATTTTTGAAATAATTTCCCTCAAACGACTTAATCCTTTTTTTTATCACATAACAATCTTTTATAACCACAACAATATGGATTTAGAAACAAATAGTTCAACAACTGATGCAATTTTTGATCTATTAGTCTCAGTACATGACAACCTGGATGTGTTCGAAGGATCCCTGTGCTTGTTTTATGACATGACAAAGGCCTTTGACCTTCTCTCCCATAAAATTAAACAGGCAAATATTGGAATTAAAGATAAGCCACTCCAATGGATTTCTACCTATCTACAGACACCAGATTGTAACAATAAAATATTCAGGCTCTGATGGACTAACAAGAAACTACCGTTCTACAATTTCCCCTGCCATAAACACCGGAGTGCCGCAAGGCTCCACCCTTGGACCAGAATTGTTTCTGATCTATATGGCAATGATTTACCCGACTTTTTAACTGAAGGGAAAGTGTGGCTCTTGGCTGATGACGTGAGTCACTTAGTTCAGGACAGTGACCTGGGTAGGCTAAGAGACAAGGCACAAACTGGCCTAAATGAAATGAGCGGATGGTGTAAAGAAAACGATCTTATACTGAATAGGAGTAAAACTATAAGGCTATACAATTCTACAACCGTAAGAAGCCTGAAAGCACCCCACTCTTCACCTTGAGGCAGCTAGTATCGTTGTAGATGACTCTATTAAATATCTTGGTCTGACAATAGCATAGTGACTTAAAATGGCAGAACCAAGTGAACGCCACAGCAGCAAGACTGAAAGCTGTGTGTCACATGGTACGTAGGCTGCAATTTATAGATGATCAAGCTGTACTGTTGAAAGTTTATTTTGGATGCTTCCATAGCATGATGAATTATGGTGTGATATTTTAGGGGAATAGTCCTTTAGCGGAGCGTATATTTTTGCTTCAAAAACGCATAGTAAGAACAATTGCGAGAGAACCCTACTTATCACATTGTAAACCAATCTTTATACAACTGAAAATACTCACACTGCCAGCTCCTGTTCATTCTTGAGTCTGCAGTGACAGTTAAAAGGAAGCCAGAACATTTCCCAAAAAATCAACAAATCCATAACTATTCAACGAGGCAGAAGGAAATGTTACATGTACAGTAGAGTCCCGCAAACTCGCGTAATGTGGACTGGAAGGGTGCCGAGTTTGTGAAATGCCAGGTTATCGTTATCGGGAACTAGAGTTAAAAACAAGAACAATACAGTTATTAAGCTTTTTAACTACCTTTTTATTTATATTTATATTACAAGTCAGTATTAAGTCATCAGATATAGTACAAAAAATCCTTAGTACCAGTTGCGAATAATTTGACTTAAGCTGGCTTGAGTCTGTGATTTACTCGGACTCAAAAAATCACTAATTTTCTGAGCCAGGTGATGGCTGAGTATCCAGACTGCCGGGTTATCGAGTGCCGAGTTTGCGGGATTCTACTGTACCACAAGTTTCATACAGTTTAGTGAGAGATGGACCAAGACCTACATGCATAAGAATTTACAATAAAATTCCAGCTAGCATAAGGGAAATTGAAGATGCGGAGAAGTTTAAATCCAAGCTTAAAGAATATTTAACGACTAGGCCTTACTACTCAGTAGAAGAGTTTTTAAATCAAGAATAGACCAAAACTTTTACGACCATGGCACACCCGTGCTACTAATGGGATACCTACAAGCAAGCAAGCAAACAGTGCAAGTAGATCGTGGACACATTCGCGATAAACTTGTCCTTGTTGAAAATGCTACACGCGCGCGGGAAAACAGGACAGTGTGACGGCACTCATTTCAAATTCAAATGATTCAAAAATTCAAATGATTCAAATGATTTATTAGGCCATTCAGTTTGTACAGACAATAGGCTAAGTCAAACAATAACAATGCAGAAATAAACGCATGCAGGATATAATTTATATAAAACATGCAAAACCAATGCATGCATACTAAAAATTAAAAAAAAATTAAACTACAAGCTGCAAGCCATGCAAGGCAGAAAAAAATAAATTTAAAATTTCGTAGTACCTCTACTAGACTACTGTATGTGGGTTCAACCCAATTGTAACAAGCTGTGCATTTCAAAACTCTTTTGTGGAATAAAATGGATTGGCAAGCATCCAAGCTTTTAGTGTGGTCGCAAACTTGTTCGGTAAGAGTTGTCTTACAGTTTTGGGTAAGGCATTGTAGAACCTTATTCCTGCAACAGGAAAACAGTTGAGAGTTAAATCTAGTCTAACTCTATCTCTAAAAATATTTTCATTGTTCCTAGTGCTATAATGATGAACATTATTAACCAATGGAAAAGCTGATTCTTTGTTCTTAATCTCTAACAGGCATTGGTAAATAAATACATTGTGTACAGGCATTATACAATGCTGAACAAACAGAGGTTTACAATGCTCCAGCTGATGGACTCCACACAAGACCCTGACAGCTTTCTTCTGTAGTTTGAGGACTTTTTGCACTCCAGGGGAGTGACCCCAGAGCCTAGTGCCATACAGAATGTGAGCATGGAAAAAAGCGAAGTACGCAAGTCGAACAAATTCAAATGGTATGTCAGCCTTCAACCGTCTGAGCAAATGGATTACACGACTTAGCTTACCACACAGGATTTCAATATGATCGTTCCAATCAAGCTGAGGGTCAAGGGTGAAGCCCAGCAGCTTCACAGTGTTTTCTTCCCTCAGTTCCCTAGATAGACTGAAAGTGATGTTTTGAGTTTTGGCTTGGTTCAGGCATAATTTATTTAACTGCATGTATTTATCTTTTCATCACGTCGTCATCCGGTCGTCCCGCCACGCTACAGCACCTTGCAGTAGATCCCATCGACGCGCCGCTACTGCATCAATGTGACAGCTCCCATTAAAACCCATGAGTTTGAATCGTCCCGCCAAACTGATCCCGTTTAACCGGACCGGCGAAACAGGATAGTGTGTCACCGGCCTCGCCTTACTGTCCATCTTGGTCTACGACCTTCTAGTCGAAGGGGGAGGTGCAGATGTCGCGCATGCGCAAAAGCTGTCACTGTTGTTATTTTCAAAGTAGCAGTAGCAGTTTTGAGAACCTATTGCGTTACTTCCCGTTCCCGGTCACTACACCTTGTAACGTTGTAACCGTTAACGGAGTTGCCACTGCCACGCATACTCACTCAGTTTGACAGATATTTTGGGTTGTTTGTTTTGTTTCCTTTCACAACCTCGAACTTCGAGTTAAAGTTTGCACTAACTTAGGTCTAAGTAACTTAGACCAAGGATGAGTTATGTTAACTTTGATTAATTTTTAAATATGGAAAGTAAAACCTGCAATGAACTATTTTCTTCGGCGTATTCACTAAAAAGACACCAAAGAAATGTGCACAGTGGTACTAACAAAAGACTTACCTCGTCCAAGTTGTTATGCCCCGAGAAAGAATGCAATCAACAATTTCTCTGGTGGTACAAAAACCTTAGAAATCATATTCTACAAACTCACAATATCAACATCTCACTTGAAGCTGAAGAGTTTGTTTTTCAAACTGACGAATAAAAGGTATATGTAGATGTATCTCTTATAGGCCTAACGGTACTTCTAAGCCTAAGCCTAGATTAACTTGTATTTCCAGGACTTAGCACAGTGTTGGGACATCGAAACATCAGTAACGTCGATATTAGTATCGATCGCCCTTTAAACATCGATGTCAAAAGAATATCAAAGTCAAAATATCGATAGATATTGGAGAAAAACATCGAGGTTTAGTAAAAGAATAAAATGATTGTAAAAAATAAATATCTGAGTTAATATACTAATTTATGGGCTACTAAAAAAAATATTGGAGTGAAATATTGATAGTAGCAATATCGGAGTAAAATATCGATACTAAAAATAAATATGTGTACTAAGCTAAAAAGGGTGTAAAAGTGTATACCAACACATCCTATAGTAATATAGGCATAAACGAAAATAATAATAAAATCCACCACTAAATGGTTAGCAATACAATTCTAGCCTAGCCCTAGAAAGAGACCTATGCTTCACGGCTTTAGTCACCACACAGTGCCGTGCCAGTGGACTGCTAAACTGTGCAAATAACAGTGACAGCATAGCAGTGCTTGTGCGCATGCGCGACATCTGCACCTCCCCCTTCGACTAGAAGGTCGTCTTGGTCTCACTCAACCTTCATCGCAGAAACAACTACCCCCGCTACAACTAGCGTTACATCTCACAACCGTTATATAAAAGTAACAGGACGCAGCCCAGCTGTCATCCTAGTTTCTGTTTCTACAAACAGACGGTCGTGACGTGTCGTGAGAAACTAGGCCTAGCTATTGTTACTGTACTGCTTTCAGCGGTGGGGCACACGGGAGGGACTAAGGCTAACATAAACATATCTTGTAGTGTCAGCGTTCGCCGCTAGAACTGCTAAGTTGAAAAAATTTAAATTAATTTTTTTTTAATTTTTAGTTATTAAATTAACTTTTTAGTTATAAAATATTGTTTTAAAATTATAAAATAAATTTTTAATTTTTAAAATTAAACTGTCATAACATAACCTAACCAACCAGACTTGCTGATAATATAAAAACTATATAAGATAAAAATGTAATTAATGATTACTTATAATGTTTAATTAATTATAAAATTAATTTTAAAATGTAGTTTTATAAAATTAAACTGTCATAACCTAACCTAACCAACCAAACTTGCTGAAATGAAAAATTTGTTGACAAAAAGTTAGTGACTATAATAATAATAATAATGTTTTTGACTATTTTATTTAATACAATGTTAAAACTTGAATATGTACCAGATCATTTCAAAAGAGCACAATTGATAGTCATTCCGAAACCTGGGAAGCCTCTTGACCAGGTAAGTTCTTACCGACCCATAAGTCTTTTACCAATAATGTCTAAGTTATTTGAAAAACTTCTTCTGAAAAGAATACAAGAACTTATTGGCGAAGATGTGATTCCTGCACATCAGTTTGGTTTCAGACGGAAACACAGTAAAATAGAACAGGTTCACCGAGTTGTTGACGTGATACGTCAATGTATGGAAGATAAAAAGTTTTGTTCAGCTGCCTTCTTGGATGTTAGCCAGGCATTCGATAAGGTGTGGCATGTTGGCTTGTTATATAAAGTAAAAAAGTTTTTACCCCATTCAATTTATAGCATTTTAAAATCCTACCTTCAAAACAGGACTTTCCAAATTAAATATCAAGACGTCCTCACTAACCTACGTCCAATTGAATCTGGAATTCCTCAAGGAAGTGTCCTCGGGCCGTTTTTGTATATTCTCTACACAGCAGATCTCCCAGAAAATGAGTTGGTAGAAATTGCTACATTTGCGGATGATACTGCGGTTTTGTCTGTTCATCGTGATCCATTTCAAGCTTCTCTAAATTTACAGCAAAATCTGAACATAATTACTGATTGGTTTAAGACATGGAGGTTCAAAATTAATGAAACTAAATCTGTCCACATTACTTTTACTCTAAATCAAAATTCTTGTCCTCCTGTCACAATAAACAACACCCAACTTCCCGAAGTAACTGAGGTTAAATACTTAGGTATCCATTTAGATAGGAAGTTAACTTGGAAAACACACATTTGGAGAAAACGGCAACAACTAAATTTAAAATCTAATCAGTTAAATTGGCTCATCGGAAGAAAATCAAAACTTAGTCTAGAAAATAAATTATTGCTATATAAAACTATATTGAAACCAATCTGGACATATGGAGTGCAACTATGGGGCTCAGCGAGTACTTCTAATATAGAAATTCTCGAAAGATACCAATCGACAATGCTGAGGAAGATAACAAATGCACCATGGTATGTCAGCAATAGGACACTACATCAAGACCTTAAGATGCCTACTACAGTTAAGGACGAAATCATGACCACAAGTGAACGATATATTACGAAATTGGAATCTCATCAAAATCATTTAGCTCTTAACTTATTAAACAACGTGGATACAATTTACAAACTTAAGAGGCCATCAATTCTCGACCTGCCCTACAGATTTTTGTAAAGTGTTTTTATTGAAAAATTTGTTGTTGAGAGTGCTTAACAGCTATTTTTAATGTTCCAAAGTCAATTTTTCGTATTACATACGGTAGTATTTACTTATTGTTCAATATATAATAGAACAGATTGTAAAGTAAATAAAAAAAAAAAAAAAAAGTTAGTGCTGCCAGCGGGATTCGAACACGGGACCCCTAGAACATCAATCCGAATCGCTACCAACTACGCCACTAACGCCGCTGATATCACATCGTTTCGTTAAGGTAATCGTGTCGCCTTAAGAGAAGAAATTAGCCACTAGAGATATGACGTCACTACACCTTTAGCCTTAGTCCCTCCCGTGTGCCCATTCCCTGCTCCCAGTGCTTTCTGCTCTGCTTCTGCTATAAACAAAATGAAGTATTGCATTTAAATGTCAAACATATGGTAGTGTTCCAAGTTGGGGGATATCATCTTTATCAGTTAGCCTATTTCAACAACACGAAAATTGTTAGGTAGCCTATCTTAAGTTTGTTTAAATTTATCGCCTTGAATTTTATCATTGATTTTATGTTGGAAGTAGTTAACATATTGACTTTAGAATATGTTATAAACAACCTAGCCTAGTTCTAATAATTAGCCTAGGCTGAGATAAACCATTGACTAAGTTATATAACATAAACTTACTTAAGGAAGAAATAAACAGACTAACTTTATTCTGGTTGGGCTATGTCTTTATCGGGAATTTTCAAAAAAGCATCACATTATATTCTTGGGTCTCAGAATGAGTCTCAGCAATGCCAGTTTACTAATGAAGGGGAGATCATATTCTGTAAGTACAAATTTTATCATTTTGCATAGCTTACTACTTACCTGGACTAACTTATTTGAAGTTTATGCATATTTTTTGTCACCCAGGTAATCATATCACTATCAGGGGTACAGTTTCTTAACTTGGCTATGCTAATAACGATTGAAACTATGAATTGAAAATATTGATTAACTTAATAGGCCTAATTGATATTTTTAGATAGACTATAAGATTATTAAATTAAACTATCATAACCTAAGTTAACCTAACCAACCAAACTTGCTGATAGTGAACAAATTGCTTGAAGGTTTATACTTATCGAATCAATATAGTTTCAATCAATATTAGCATAACCCAGTTACGAAACTGTACCCAATCCCAAGTTATTTAGGCCCTAGGCCTATTGTAATAAAACCAAAGTAGTAAAACTATGTATTTACTAGGCAAACTCACCCTCAAATTCTTCACAGTAGTTGCTTGGATCCAAACCTGCACACTTAAGACCAGGCTTAACATATATGGCGACACCGCCACTAGGATTTGTCCTACAAAAATGACAAAAAGATCGAGTTCGCCAATGTTGCTATAACACTGAACTTCTCCAGACACTAACCAGTGTTCAGACACCACCCACCTACGTAATAGCCACTTCCCTATAGGGATATTTGCTAACAGCAGACTTAAAGAGTAAAACACATATTTTTATCCCAGTAAACGACCCACCAGCAGTTGATAGACCAGGGTTCTCTGGCTTACATTGGATCCTACTCTTGTATGTCATAAGAAGTAAAGAGTTTTATTTTTTTTTTTATCCTTTTGGCAGACTAAATATGAAAATGCAGTGAAGATATTTTCAGCACTGCAAAATACCTCTACGATGACACAGAGTGTATATAATCAAATCTGTTAAAGTCCCACAGCAGATCAATAATTATGACGGTGGTATCTATTTGCTTATTTTATATTTTCTGAGGGCGCAACATCCAAGCCCAGAGTTTCAGGTATGGTGTCCCTCAGGGATCGATTGTAGGTCCGTTGTTATTCCTGGTAATGATCAATGAGCTTGATAGAGAGATTGAGGGGTGGTGCTTTTTGCTGACAAAACAACCCTGGTGTCACGGGGACCCCAAGTTCAGCTGTCCACTGCAGATTCCAACCATCATCTCTCCGTAGCATCCCTCTGGTTTGTAGAAAATGGTTTTCAGATCAACCAGGATAAAACCCACACACTGGTCTGCAGTCTGGAAAGAAATGCCCCACCTAATGAACCAGTTAAACTCCTTGGATTCGATCTGGATAGAAAATTGGAGTGGATCAGTCACATAGGCATAGTTAGCAGCAAACTTTCTAGGCTACTGTCATTTTCTGTGCTACTGTGCTATCTGCTATAGCTGCGTAATTTTCCAGGCTAAACAGTACCTGCTGAACATCTATCACGCCATGGTCACAATCACTAGACATAGTTAGCAGCAAACTTTGTAGGGTTTGCTTTCTGCTACAGCTGCGTAATTTTCCAGACTGAACAGTACCTGCTAAACATCTATCATGCCATGGTCTATGGCAGCTATGTGAGCTATGGCCTACTACTTTGAGGTCATGCCGCTGATTTTTAAGATATATTAGTGATCCAGAAACGTGATGTAAGACATTACCTATTACATTTAGTGACTGCCTTGCCTACTGTAAACCCATCTTTGCAAGTCTGGGAATATTCACCATATATATAGCCATTGCATTCTGGTATGCTGACTGCTGATCCATGACCACTGCGACAAATTTCAACTTTGTTCAGCGGTTCATGACCACCAAACAAGGCAGCACGGATTACTTGATGTGCCCAGGGTTAGACTAGCGAGAGCCCAGAAGAATTATAACACAGTAGCAATAAAAATCTATAACAAGCTGCCTAACTCTATCAAACATCTTGCACATAATCTTTTCTCAAAGAAGCTGGTCCCTCTACTCAAGTCAAGAGCCTACTACTTCTTTAAAGAATGTTTTGAAGACAAATTTCTAGAATTTTCTGACTGATCCGCCTATATGCCAATGTTGTTTATATGTGTTTTATATTTAGTATTTAATGTATGGTATTTGTGAATTTGAAAGTCTGACACTATCAATTCCTTTTGGGTAAAAGATGAAGATACGGTAATAAGGTAACTAAAAAAATATCTAACTTTCGTAAGTTATTTAAATTAGGCCTAATATTATTACCTAGTCTGACAATTTTAAGGGAACATTGTTAGCTAATGAAAATCCAATGATTTGGATCTTACAGGTAAGAACAATGTCTGCGTTCACCCACCTACGATGCTACGACAAGACACAGATATCATCCATCATCCTGGCTACTTAACACTCACGTGCCAGACAAACAGTGTTACCAACAGACCAACTTTGATGCTAGCATGGATACCCAACCAGGTGCTTCGAGGCAACCCTGCGACAGTGGAGCAACGTAGCCTCTCTGCTTCAAGGTAACTTAACTTGCTTTGAGCCGATAGGCCTTCCAATATAATAATTTATTTGTTTTGATTTCCACAATTAAGAGATCTAATTAAAAAAAAGAAAGAAGATTCTGAAAGAAAGAAGCTAGGCCTATTTTAGCCACCTACAGCAGGGGTCGCCAACCTGTGGCCCGCAGGCTACATCCGGCCCGTGAACAGACTTAATCCAGTCCACGTTGACCTACTGGAAAATAATTATTTTTATATTATTGGTATAAATCGATGATCGGTAATAATGTGATTGTCATATGCGATCGTGGCAACACTCCCGGCCATATTTTGTGGTCTCCTTGTAAATGTTATCAAGTATCAATTATTTTAATTTTCATTACAATTTAAATGTTCAATTAAGTAAACTTAGTAGGCATACATTGAAAATATTTTGTTGTTTATGTACGTCATTTTAGGTGTTTATCATCATTCCTACTAAAAACTTCTATTATAGAACAAATACTAATGTCATGGTAAATATACTGTAAAATTAATTGATATAAACTTTATTTTGAATTAAAATAAGTTAATCATAAGCCTACTTATGTTATGACAAATTGTAAATATGACAAACACAGTTTGTATACCCATTTAATATGTGAGATTGGCCAATTATTTTGTTTGGTACACGGTACCACAGTGCTCAAAAACGTACAGAATTTAAAAATTATTAGTCAAAAGGTATTTAGAAATAAAAAATCTGCAAAATTTCATTTCATTTTTTTTTTATATGTTCAAAATTCATCGCTGAGCTCTTAGTTAGAAAACTACCTCTTTGTGGGTTATTTGGAGGAGGGCTACCTTTCTACACTGAAATCTTGACGGTCCAGCCCACCTTTCCTTAAAAAATTTCAATGTGGCCTTTGAGTAAAACAGGTTGGAGACCCCTGAACTACAGTGGGCCAAAATAACCAACAAACAACACGTTATGTGTTTTCGGTATAAGATTTAAGGATATTTTCTTTTGATGTAACATGAACTGTAAATTTTTCAAACCAGACCATATTAGCAAAAAACAAACTTTGCCAAATGACATAACAATAAATTAATTACAAAATTTCAGATTCTATGTTCTATGCTATAATTGTGTAAGAAAAATACCATGTAAGTTACTAAACAGTTTTAAAAACTTGTACATATTTCCAGATTATTAACAAACTACAGTAACAGCTATACCCTTGTTTCACCATGGTAATTTAAGAGGACGCGGAAGAGAACAATGTGGGTCTTCATACCTGCTGCATGAAATAATTACCTGTCCATAATTTATTTTAGAATCAAAACATAATGTTACTGTTTTGTTTGATCATTTTAAAATTTAGTTAAAGGGCTTAGATGTTCTAGTCTACCTATTATTTATTAGTTATTTACCTAAGTTATTTATTCTAGTTACAGTCTACAAGTGGTGCTGATGTGTCAGTAGCACTATATATTACTTAAATGAGTATGTGCTTTTAAACTCCCAATTATATTTAATGAAGACAATAGTGAGGCAATAAAATCAATTGCCATACTTGATATTAAAATAGAGACTTCTTCTAAGTCTTTTAACCCAATTCTTTGATTTGGGCCTCTTTACCTGAAGCTCATTAAAAACAAAAACAAATTAATGAAAATGATGAATGAACATTATTAAACATAACCTTCTTTTAAATAACCCAAGAATTTTCAGTGTAAATAAAACATCAACAAAAAACATTCCAAACATTTGGTTCGTAGTAACAAATTAATTCTAATATCAATGTAAACATAAGAATAACATGCCAACTTAAAAGCGCAAGCAGGGAGCCAATTGGACGGAGCCCTAGGAGGCTAGGCACGAGCCTGGGATTGTTTTTAACATTACTTTAGGCTAGACTTAAGTGTTGCGGCATTAACACTTGATCATATCCATTGTTGATTTGGCGGGATTTGAACCCAGAACCTCAGGGATTGAAATCCCGCGCTCTATCACTAGACCAGCTCGCTTGCATGGGGGAGCCTTGGGAGGGTCTCAAAATAAAAATAGGCCTATGTCCATCACAAAATCCAATTTTATTTTTCTGTAGGCCTATTTATTAAAATCTGTATTTTTCACATTTATAATAGGTACAGTATTAGAAACATAAGATAAGAAGGAAGATTCTAAATCTAAATATTTATTCTATAACTCCGTCCCTCAACCTAAATCCAGCTAACTTAGTCAAGTAGGCCTATAACCTACGGTATGTTGTCCTTGTGTCAGCTGGCATGAGAAATTCAATACTTCTGTTTATATAAGTAGTGAGTGCAGTAAGATATACATAAGAGTATCGTCTATGATAGTTTAGGTTCTCTCGTACAAGCTATAAATTAAACTTGAGATCCCTACATGTTTCGGTTGAATAAAGACAATTTCATGGTCATTGAGATCAAATTCATTTATAAGATTTAGCTGTTAAAAAAACATTTAACACCTTTTTCAAGATCTGTTATCTTACAGGTGTGGCGATAAGCGGAGACAGTCAACCGAATCAATTTCGACACCAGATTCGTACAGACACAGTTCGGCTGATAGTCTGGAGTCTCACAGCAGTGTGCCGAACAGTGATTGGCTTAGAGAGATAGAAAGTCGTCTGAAGCGAGGCAGCCTCTCATCAGACAACTCCATCAAGAGTCCAGATGAGAACAAGCCAGAGTGTTGTGAATCAGTGCCAAATATAGTGATCGATACTAGTCCTCCGTGCTCATTAGATAGTGTTAGTGATACTTCAATGTGTGAGAGAAGGATGTCTGCGTCTAAGGAGATGCCAGCGTGGATGGTGTCGCCTGAAGTGCTCGCTCAGAGACACAACCTCACATTCCCTGACAGCGCTACCGCCTCACCAGTCGTCCGGAGAGCCTACCGGACCTGTCGGAAGTTTTCTGTCGATCTAAGTAAGTATTAGATTTGGGAAATGGGTTTTGATCAACCATTAACTTTCTGGATGCTTTTCGGATACCATCCGATATATTCACCATCTGTTTTTTTATAAAATCACTGGTATAATAAGTTACTTTTATACAAGAGTGTGCTAAGTCAACAATTCTGTTATGTTCAACTGACAGCTTACTCCATAGACACAAGTTAAGCATTACTGTAAAAACAAAATCACAACATTCATGTTTAATTCCCATACTGATCTAATTCAAAGAAAATAAAAGACACCCATGTCTCTAATAATATTAATTTAGCTAGAAAGCAGAAAGCATTTTTCAATGACTATAGATCTCCTATAATTTGCTTTGCAGGTGAGATGAGATCGTTGCGATTGTTCTTCAGCGACGCATCGTCCACACAGGGGCAGCTGGTGGTTGCCTCGCGGCAGTGTCAGTACAAGATCCTACACTTCCACCATGGAGGGCTAGACAGGCTGGCCAACACGCTACAAGCATGGAACTTGCTCACTGTCCAGAGTGACACTAGCAATGATGACGCACCTTACAGACACTTCATGGTCTGCAGGTTGGTGAGCGCAATGTTCTCTTCTCTTTTTTGTGGTTTTCAAATAAAAAGGAGAGTCTATATTCTTATTTTGACACAATCAATTCCGACTTTGCCGGTCACTGATGTAGGATTCAAGTATCAAGGAGGCCTATCTATCATTAAAAGAATAAGCCCATCCATTTCTTTTATTGGTTTGCCAAGAAATCATAAAACACAATATAGTTCAAATTTCACCATAATAATAAAATACAGGGTTTTTTTTTAACGTAACCCAAATTAAGAGTACTGTCAGACACATGTTAACGACAAAACAAGCTTATATTTTGGTATCCTTGTTTTATTTACTTCATTGCCGATCAGCTGATATGCATTGTCGCATAGTTATCTTTGAGGTTTAAGCCGCGTTTACACCGGAGTTTTAAACAAAAAGTTGCAAACTTTTATTGCAAACAGCAGTTGCAAACAGTAGTTTAAAATAAAAGTATGCAATTTTTATTTCATGGTTTTGTTTCCATGTTTCATGAAAATGTTTGAAATAATTTCGACCTTGATTGAAACATCGTCGATTGAAAAAAACTTACACTTGGTTTTCCCATCGTCGGCCTGCGATCCCCGATCCAGACTTATTGCCCTTTTTAGATTCCCTGTTAAATTGAATTATAGGTTCCTCATCTTATTTTGCACCTCTGCCTCGCTTAAGTTAATTTCCCGTGAAATGTCATTCCACGTATAGTTTTTCTTGTTTTTTGTTTTTAAAGTCAGAAATAGTTTGATTCCAAAGCACTTCATGTTCTCTGTACAAGCTAACTTAATAATATTGTAATCTCTTCACTCCATCTCACTCAGGAGATCATCACTCACAACACGCACGATACGAGATAAGTCACAACAAACACGAGGTAGCAGTCCAGACAGGGTTCACTGAGTCGAGATACAGAGTGGTGTGAGTGATCACGTGAGTGAGACTGGAGGTGGTAGCGTAGGGGATAGCGGAGAAATGTTTCTGTTTCGTGTTTCAACGGCTCTTAGTGACCGAAACTAGTGTTGCAAACAAAGAGTTTGCAACTTTCTTTGATCTTCACCGACTTCAAGTGGAAACAAAAATTTCTGTTGCAAACACTGAAAAACTGTTTGCAACAGCAAAAAGTTTTGTCTGAAAATGGGCGTTTTTAGAGATGTTTGCAATTTCTGTTTGCAACTCGTGTTTCAAACTCCGGTGTAAACGCGGCTTTAATGTTATTCATTGTAAATAAGGCTAAACATGGTGTTTCCCCAATCTTGAAGAGTTGAAAGATTACTTTAAAAGTAAATCGTTGGTAGCTATAGGTTGGACTAACTTAATAAAAATCGTTCCTCATCCAAAAAAATTATATTTTTTTCTAAATTATTGTGGTATTAGAAGTTTATTTTTAACCCATTGGCGCCGACTTACGAGCGTTACTCGTACGGCCGCTGCAGGCCCGGAGGCCGACTTACGAGAGCCGCTCGTGTCACCGCTAGGCAGCGCCATTTTTTATTTAGTTATTATTATTTTTCGCCCTTTTTGTTTCTTCTTACTATTATAATGTTTATAAATATCTTGCTTCTTGATTTGCGTATTTACTAATTTATTTTAGCTAATAACAAACAATTTTGTGTTGCCATGGAAACCACATATCACCAAAAATCAGCTGCGGTAAGGTAAACAAACAATTTTTTTTTAAATGTCATTTCTTATAAAAGTACACAACTTTTGATTTTTCTACGTAGGGAATCGATCGACCTTTATAATAGTAGTGTTATTTGGTGTCTGGATTAATCTTGGAATTTGTATATCAAGTTTACTTTCAAAATATTGTTCTGAAAATTTTTATTTTTATAATCTTTATATATATATATATATTTTTAGTTTAGAACTTTGACTATCCAATTAACACTTTTCTGTAGACAATTTTACTGTGAACAAAATGGTGAAAGAATTATTAATTTATTACCTAAGGTTTTCTTTCTGTAGCAGTTAGAGTAAAAGTCTACAAATTCGGTAAAATTAATTGCCGCCAGAGGGTGCTGCAGGTAGCGGATTAATTCCTTCCCCAATGGGTTAAATCTCCTTATTTGCAAACTATAAAATTTTTATTACTTTCTCCCCCTAGGCTTTTCGAAGTTATGTCTGTCTGTCTGTCTGTCTGTATGTATGTATGTGTAGATGTGTACAGAGCTACAGACTACACCTGTGGTCAGATTTTTATGAAATGGTTGTAGTAGGTACTAATCCATGATTTCTCCAGGCATTTTATCATTTTTTTAATATTTATTTTTAATGGTAATTTAAAAAAAAAACCTAAAAACAAAGAAAAACTTATTTTTACAAAAACTGCCTTTAACAGCACGGTACAACCCCCGTTGAATATTTATTGCAACTCATTAGTTGCAATAAATATTCAACGGGGGTGATTTTCCCATAAAATAAGAATCGGATCACAAAAAAGAAAAATGGCTTGACTGATTATGATTAAAATTTGGCATGATATGTACCTTGTAGTAGCAATACACAAAATTGTACAATCCCCAAAACTGTAAACATTTTGGTTCCTAAGTTATTGAAACTGTTGTGATTTTTTCCCCATAAAATACCACAGTTGCTCCCAATGTTCATTATAAGGTTTGTTGACAATAATGGGAGATTGTATGTGTTGGATTGCTGATACCCACCGCTTGTTCATTATAACGGTTGTTGACAATGGGAGAATGTATGTGTTAGATTGCTGATACCCTCCGCTTGTTCATTATTAGGGTTGTTGACAATGGGAGAATGTATTTGTCAGATTGCTGATACCCTCCGCTTGTTCATTATAAGGGTTATTGACAATGGGAGATTGTATGTGTTGGATTGCTGATACCCACCGCTTGTTCATTATAAGGGTTATTGACAATGGGAGAATGTATGTGTCAGATTGCTGATACCCTCCGCTTGTTCATTATAAGGGTTATTGACAATGGGAGAATGTATGTGTCAGATTGCTGATACCCTCCGCTTGTTCATTATAAGGGTTATTGACAATGGGAGATTGTATGTGTTGGATTGCTGATACCCACCGCTTGTTCATTATAACGGTTGTTGCAATGGGAGAATGTATGGGTTAGATTGCTGATACCCTCCGCTTGTTCATTATAAGGATTGTTGACAATGGGAGAATGTATGTGTCAGATTGCTGATACCCTCCGCTTGTTCATTATAAGGATTGTTGACAATGGGAGAATGTATGTGTCAGATTGCTGATACCCTCCGCTTGTTCATTATAAGGATTGTTGACAATGGGAGAATGTATGTGTCAGATTGCTGATACCCTCCGCTTGTTCATTATAAGGATTGTTGTCAATGGGAGAATGTATGTGTCAGATTGCTGATACCCTCCGCTTGTTCATTATAAGGGTTATTGACAATGGGAGATTGTATGTGTTGGATTGCTGATACCCACCGCTTGTTCATTATAAGGATTGTTGACAATGGGAAAATGTATGTGTCAGATTGCTGATACCCTCCGCTTGTTCATTATAAGGATTGTTGACAATGGGAGAATGTATGTGTCAGATTGCTGATACCCTCCGCTTGTTCATTATAAGGATTGTTGTCAATGGGAGAATGTATGTGTCAGATTGCTGATACCCTCCGCTTGTTCATTATAAGGATTGTTGTCAATGGAAGAATGTATGTGTCAGATTGCTGATACCCTCCGCTTGTTCATTATAAGGATTGTTGACAATGGGAGAATGTATGTGTCAGATTGCTGATACCCTCCGCTTGTTCATTATAAGGATTGTTGACAATGGGAGAATGTATGTGTCAGATTGCTCATACCCTCCGCTTGTTCATTATAAGGATTGTTGACAATGGGAGAATGTATGTGTCAGATTGCTGATACCCTCCGCTTGTTCATTATAAGGATTGTTGTCAATGGAAGAATGTATGTGTCAGATTGCTGATACCATTTATTTATCTCTTTGTCCAGGCCAGCTGTCAGTGAAAGTGATCTGCACCCTGAGGAAGGAACTGTTTCTCCTATCTCATCAGCTGATTGGGTGGAAATGCTCAACTGTGACGGCCAATTGGAAGATGATGTTCCACTTAGAAAGGTAAACAATAAGGAAACGTACATATTAACCAACCGCTTAAATTAGGCTGAATACAATGATCTGAAAACTTTCCTAATGTGCTACCTAACATTGGTATTTTAATGCAGTTTTATTTCTTATTATTTTCTATCTATGGTTGTTGAGTTTACTTTGATTGAATGGATGATTTGAGTCAGTTTCTTTCTAGATAGATAGTTGGTCTAGAGGTAAATCGTCATGTACTTAACATTGGCCTACTTCTGTTTTCTTGACAGATAACTTAATCTGATTTTTTTCAATTTAGGGAATTTTTCTGGGTGGACTTTCACCAGACCTACGCAAAACTGTTTGGCCATTCCTGCTGCATTTTTACTCATTCCAGTCAACTTACGCGGAACGAGAACACATCTTACAGAGACGGAGGCTCGAATATCATCAGATTAAGTAAGTACAGAAGACTCTTGATTATTCTAAATTAGTGGGCCTAGCAAATAAATTAGAACTATTAAGAGTTTGATTTATTGGAAGAAAAATAAACAATTCAAATTACAAAGAGTAAATTATATTAAATACTGTACTATGTGCAGAACGTTACAATTAAACAGCTTATTTTAGTCACTTTACAACAATCAACAGCTTTTTTTTATTTAGTAACAACAAATCTGTTATTTTGTTTCCTATTTTATTGATTATTGGTCATGAATTACATTATTTACATTATTTAAGATGCCTCTGTGCTAACCGGATGTATAGTTTCCTGTTATGATAGGAAGAATTCTGTGCCTTTGAACTATAGAACGTTTTGCTGCTGAAACTTGGAATTACTCTTGTTCCAAATCGACCTTCCCTCTGCTTGGCTTTTTAAATACTGAGAGTATCAAAATGCATGGTAAAACTTGGAAATATTGAGAGATTCTCTATGGACTGAGCTTTTGGAATTACCGAAAGTTTCATTTTATGGAGTGTTTGTATAACGAGAGTAGTCTGTATCAATTAACACCTACCTTTATCTGGTGATTTTACCTTATGTTGCACCATTCACTGTTGTAGTGGATGGAGTGAATCAGTTACGTGTTACCTTGTGACAAAGGTATGCTGCCTGAAAAGTTGTTATACACAATTGATCCTAAACACTCGCAAAACTGCTAATATTGTTCCAGAACCAGTGGTTATTTTAAATTTTGCATCACAAAAATTACACATTTCAGAGCCATCTTCAGTTACCATTTTCTGAAAACACGTTAGCTACAGAAGATTATTTGTACAAGACATATTACTTTCATTAAGCAACATCACTGAAGCTGAAACATACAAAAATCAATTTGATTACTCTAGTCCCTTACTAGCCTATCAGCCTATAGTTAAAATGTAAGTGAGAAAATATTGCTATAGCTGTGCTGTGATATTACAGAAATCACAATGAAAAAGGCAAGGATATGGTAATGTAGTATCCATCTATATTGTTAATACAATGGAGATACTGCTGCAACTCGTTAAGAATCTCATTTACAGCTAATCTTAGTCAGTAACCAGCCCATACAGGTCATCTCCCTTCTTTCTTAACTCACATTTGAATCATATTTAACAAAGACGCAATTGAGTGTTCATCAAAGATTCAACTAGTTATCATTCATTGTAATAATTAAAGAGGTAAATCTTTAACCTAAATGCAGTGGGAACTATAGCCTACAATATTCAACAGAATAATCTGCTTTAATACTTCATGGCAGTTGGCGTTGTTGTAGTTGTCGACGTGAAAGTTTGGAGGGTGCGGCAAGGGAAAGGTTCACTCGCAACATTACCTGTGTCGTAGAGAAGGATGTTGTAAGAACGGACAGAAGTCACCCGTACTACGCGGGAGACAGCAACCCTCACGTGCAGACCATGATGTGAGTTACTGTTACTAGTATAACTGTTGGGAAGGGGGAAAGAGCTTGTCAAGGGTTGAGCGCAGAGCTTCAGTGCCCCAAGTCCCTGGTTCAAATCCCACCAATCACCAATGGATTTTATGTGATAATGCCGCAACCCACTAGGGATAGACTTAAGTAATGTGTAAAACAGTTCCGGGCTAAAACTAGCGTCCTAGGATGTGAAGGTGGGACAAAAAAAACTAATTCGTTGTATCTTCAGGCAATTTTTAAGTTTATTCGTGATTTAACAAAAAACTCTAATTTTTATAAAAACTGCTCCAACAATTTTGATTGAAATTTGGTACCTATGTTATTAAAATATATATGGTATATGTTAAAACCTTAAACAAAATTACACAAATCCTTTAAAAATTTGCTAAAAATCAAGATACAAATTTCATCAAATGAAAAAAAACCATCTAGGAGATACCATGGAAAACCAACATCCCCTATTTCATAAAAATTGTGCCCTGTCTGTACACATCCACACATAATTTCAATGTCAAGGTAATGGGAGAAAAAAATGTGTCGGTTTGGTGATACCGTTTATTCAATAGGCTAATTATTTTTACATTAGAAAACTTTTCTGACAGTCACAAAAGAGAACACCATTTAGTCAAGTAGATAGTTTATATAATTGTTGCTCCACACTGAAAGTACAATTCAACCAGATATTGTGTCGCAGTAAATTTTAAAGATGATATCTGTATGATTTTTTAACAACAGGGATTTGTTTGGCGTAAAATGTGTAAAATCAAATTATGATTTTTAAAATAGAAGGTGTATTGTGTTGCACAAAATAGCTATTATAGGCCTATTATTACATTTAGAAAGCACTGGGATGTTTAAAGCACCAATTTAGATGGTAGCTTGAATATTTTATGCTTCTACGTTTGTTTGAATGTAAGTGGTTGATCTTCCTTTCCTTTTTTTTTGTTTTGATCAATTTATAATTAATATAGTTTTTAACTGGCGACGAATCAAAAGTAACCAAGTATCTTTTTCATTAAAAAAAATGTTAAGGTACAGTATAATATGTAAGTAATTTTATTCAAATAGAACAAGGTGCGAAGGTAATAGATGTTACCACATTCAGTTTCAACATTCAATACTAGAGTCTTGCACTTTACACAAATGATAATGGTTAGATTGTTTCTCTTATCTCACTGATAACACAGTTCCTGTTCCATAACAATACTTCCTGTGTGATAATTGATAGACCTAGTGAAATGTAGGTCAGGCACTAGATGTAAACTTAAAGATTCAGTGACTAAACCGTTACAGATCTAATTTAATTTACAACATATCTGTGTGAGAAAACAAAATGGTGTGTTAAAAAAAACAAAGTACTCATTAATTGTGATGGATGGTTAAAATAGTATCATTTAAACAGACCCATTGTATACAAAAATAATGTTATTGTTATTAAAAACAAACCATAACTATTTAATCACTGATATAATATAAATTCTTTAATGTGAAAATATGCAATAAAACAAAATTGATAGGAAGATATAAGATTTTACTTTAGTTAAAACGCTACTCGCACAGCTTTTTTCTCGTCTCTATTCAAAACAACACCAGTTGTTAATTTTTCTCGCTCACCGATGACAGCAGACGAAAAACATATTAGATTTAAATGGGTCTCTTTAATTCTTATCACATAACCCAATGTCCTCATTTCATAGTGGTATATCTGGTGACAAAAATTTTGCGCTTTTGCGCTAATACTTCTACAAAAATTGATATTCTACTTTTTAGCGAATTTCCCTATAGAGAAGTATTAGTGAATTTCTCCCCTACACAATAATAGCTACCCATTTGTAGGTATTACCAACCATAGGTGGCACGGTAAGAACTGGAGCGGGGACTTGTATACTTTTTTATTTTGATGTTCCTAGAGGCCAAAAACACTATTTGTCCAAATTTTTATATGTTTATACAGCGTGTTCAGAAAAAGGTGTTGACATAATTTGCGTACTGATCCCTTGAGTCAAAATAAAGAGAAAATCAAGTATAACATTTTTTCCAAAGTCGCTTCAATAACCATTTTATCCATGTTTGCCTCCTGGATTGATAATGAGTAATAATAATAATAATAGGTTAAATACCTTGTTTACGTCCTCAATCCAAGTCGTCTTTTTATGATGACTATAGTTTCGGGGCCAACAGCCCCATTGTCAATGGTTATCGTTGAAGTTCACATATATACATAGACATAGTCATGAGTCAGTGTACCGGTCCGCACACTTTTGATTAGGCTTTTTTTTCATAAAATTAGCCGGTTTCTCGGAGTTCAATCAATCAATCAATCAAAATATCTTTATTTCATAATATGCAAACATATAGTTACATGAAATAGAGTCATGGGAACTAAAACTAAGTGAGTAGGTTATTTAAAAAATACATAAGGTTAAATTACATTCAAAATTATTAAGAGAAAGAGTCAAAATTAAAAGTGTCAAGAACAAAACTCCCCGATAGAAAAGAAAGCTGATTGAATTAGAAATGCTTTTGCCAAATTCAAAAATCTGTTCGTATTATTTATGTATTTCTTTTTTTGATATTTTGTGGCAAAAGGTCAAAATATTTGTTCCCTTTATAGGTTATTAAAAAAAAAAAACTCTAATTTATGATGTTTAACCAATCGATGGGGTCTTGTATTATAGCTATGGACAGTATTACCAAATGTTAGTTTATTGTTAGATATTACACTTTTTTTGTTTCAAAAATAAAGAGGCTACATCAGATTTTTTTTAGATTCAAAATTACCGTTAATGCCCTTTTCTGTTGGAGTAATATTCAATCCATGTTTAATTTAGAGGTTGATCCATAGATGCAGATACCATAAGACACATGTGAATGGATTAAGGCAAAATATATTGTTTTTAAAGTTTCAATATTTCAAGAGGTTGCCATTTTCCGAAGAGCATACAAACCACTAGTTGTTTTTTTTACTACAAGATTTACATTGTCATTCCACGTTAGGTTTTCATCAATAACTAATCCCAAAAAAGTTGTTCTCTCTTATTGATCTATTAAGTTTTCTTCAATGAATATTGTGGGATTTAATTTTTGCTTAGTCTGTTTGGTTGTAAATGTAACAAAATTAGATTTTTGTGAATTTAGCAGAAGGGTTTTAGGCAATTATATCGATCACGGACGTGTCGCTAAAAAATTTTTTTTTTCACTATTCTTATGCTAAATTACGTCCTGAATTCAAAAATGATTGTCATTTTTGTTGGAAAAGCACCGTTTTCCCAGAAAAACGGAAAAAACAAAAATTTTGCGGAAATGGGTCATGTGTATACTCGAATTAACCGGTAAAGCGAGATGAACAAGAATATGCAAAAAATTTCAAGATCCGATTAATATTAACGGAGATACGACCGAAAGAGCGGGCGGAAAAGTTCATTAGTCACAGGAACAACGGCATCAGGAGGATCCGTAGGTGCTGCTGTCTGAGCGAGAGCGATTTAGAGGTTATTTGGTGAATATATATTCTTTATACCCTTGATTATATTAGGTTAGGTTGGGTTGGGTTGGGTTAGGTTAGGTTAGGTTAGGTCAGGTTAAGTTAGGTTAGATTAGGTTGTCTAGCCTAACCTAACCTAACCCAACCTAACCTAACTTAACCTAACCTAACCTAACTTATCCTAACCTAACCGTACCTAACCTTATTTTTGGCCATTTTGACGCTAACTCGATTTACCGACGCTTTTCCTGCCGTATCTCCGTAATAGTAATCGGATCTTGAAATTTTTTGCATATTCTTGTTCAGCTCGCTTTACCGGTTAATTTGAGTATACCCATGACCCATTTCCGCAAAACTTTTGTTTTTTCCGTTTTTCCGCTTTCCGGGTAAACGGTGCTCTTCCGACGAAAATGACAATCATTTTTGAATTCAGGATGTAATTTAGCATAAGAATAGTGAAAAAAATTTTTTTAGCGACACGTCCGTGATCGATATATAATTACCGGGTTTTACTATCAAAAAAGTCTTTAATCATTGATAGGTTAATATGAGATGCAATTTCTAGGCTTTCTTTACTATTGGCAGTTACAATCATGTTGGTGTCATCGGCATAGATAGACAAATTTTATTGTTTCAGTTTGGCTGTTTACTTACAGGACACCCTGTATAGATACGTCTGTAAACACAATAACTGGATATATTTGACTAAAAACACACATTACTACCCTCCCTGTAGCAGCAAACCTATGTACTTATTAAATCTAATGTTATGTAAATAGGTAGATTTAATTTAAAATCCAATCAGGCAAATGGAAATTCCCTTAGTCTGTAGGGTTGCTGCGGCAGGGGTATTTTATTGGGGTTTGGCATAGTATTTTTATGCCAATTAAAACCCCACAGATATAAATTAATTTACTCTGAATATTTTTTAAATTATAAGTTCAAATCTTTTCTGCTTCTACGATCTTTCTTATCCAAAACTCCATAGGTTCAGTATTAGTGACTAAATGGTTTTTTTAGCATTACACTTGGTAACAGATAACAGCAACTAACACTTGTTATGTGACAGGAGGATCCTGTTGAACTACGCTGTGTACAATGCCAGTCTAGGCTACACTCAGGGCATGTCGGATCTACTGGCCCCAGTGTTGGCTGAGATTGAGACTGAGTCTGATGCCTTCTGGTGCTTCGTGGGTCTCATGCAGCGAGGCATGTTTGTCTGCACTCCGACTGACTCGGACATGGAGAGAAACCTGGTGTGTATCTGTCTTCATTGCTTGGTTAAAAAAGTTGAGGTAATGGGACTGAAACTTAGCAGAAACTATGACCCCAGAGTAGGCAGGTGAGATATTAGGATGTGTCCTTCCACGTTTTAAATAAATGTCTGGCGAATTCCTTTACATCCTTCACAATTCATCTGACTCCCTCTATTGCAGCTTTGCTGTAGTGAGGAATAAGAATGTAGCTTCTGTTGAAATTTTAAAAATCTTTGTTTAAAATGATTAAAACTTTGTACATATTCTGTTAGAGAGAGGAAGGGTCCAGAACACTGTTCCACTTAACTCTGAAAATATCCCATGTTATTCTTAAGGAGAATAAGTAAACTGTTGTAGTTTCCTTGTTTTTGGATAAATATTAATCGAACTTGGCAAATTTATTTTATACTAAGCTATTAATATTTTACTAAAAAAACACACTGTATTACCCTCCCTGTAGCAGCAGCAGCAAACCTAGGTACTCATTAAATTTAATGTTATTTGAATATATTGTAAAAATCAAATCAGACAAATGGAAATTCGCTTAGTCTGCACGTTTGATGCAGCGGGTGTATTGTTTAGTGACAGGAATAAAACAGATTTTGTAGTTGTATAACACATTGGCACCAGTGCTTATTGTGCTGGAAGCGAGCCCCAGACTTTGGTGCGTGGGATGCTGTGTTGAAATCCCTCCAATCACCAATGAATTATCTAAGTGATAATGCCACAACCCTTAGTCTTAGTCTGAAGTAATATGATAACAGTTCCGCACTAAAGCCTAGCACCCTATGATGTAAAGGTATGACGAAAAAAGTGCTCACTGCGCTATCTGACAAAGACAAGGTTTTATGTTATCAGATCAACATTTAAGATGTTCAACTTTCAAAATTTTTAAGTATAATTTAAAACATGGTTGGTTAAAAAATATTCTTTTGTGCTGCATAAACATACTCAATGATGATCTTTTGGGGATTTACAGAATTACTTGCGAGAACTGATTAGAGAAATGGTGCCTGAGTTTTACACACATTTACAAAAGCATACTGATGCCATGGAACTACTGTTTTGTCATCGGTGGATTTTATTGTAAGTACTTTGATGATGATTCTTGAGTTCTTAAGTTAATTCAGTAATTTTACTTGGTATACTCATTAACAAAAAAACACCATTAGAGTGAAAGCATGCAATAATCGACCATTGGCCTAGGCTTTTCCAGCAAAGTTGTAGAGATAACGTTCTCTTGATATATTTAACTTCCTGAATGCAATTGAAATATTTACTCACAATTAATTCATTTATCAAGAATATTTAATAACTAATCACCTTAACAAAGAAACTATAGACATTACTATAGGGGAATCTTTTCACTGCACCAGTCTAAAGTGTAACGATTTTCTGCAGATGCTTCAAGCGTGAGTTCCCTGAACCTGTAGTTCTGCGTATCTGGGAGGCTTGCTGGTCCAACTATCTGACTGATTATTTCCACCTGTTCCTCTGTCTTGCCATTGTCTCTGCGTACGCAGACGACGTCATCGCACAGTGTCTGCGCACTGATGAGATGTTGCTGCACTTCAGTTCTCTTGCCATGTTTATGGACGGAGATCTCATTTTGCGCAAGGTATCATCATTATGTTATATTTTGAATGTTATGGTTGTTCGGAAGTATGAGAGTGGGTATTGGAAATAAAGTGTGTAACTATAATGTGAAATGGTTTTGTAATCAGTGGATCATCTGACTAAGGAGTGTAAAATATTTTACTGGGCAACACGTTTCAATATTGCTTGTCCAAGGATTGTTTCATCGTACATTAACATGTTCATTGCATTAGAAAAAATATTATAGCTGAGTGAATATAACCAAGATCTAGATAGGTAAACAGACAGGGATTAAAGTATTGAAACAGAAAAAAGTGGCTATGAGTTATCAGCATAAGGCAACTTTTCCGTCCTTGTCTCTTTAGGCAAAGCCTCTTGTGTTTGCTTTGGATGTTTACCCTATAGAAATATTCTTAGCTTTAATGATCTCTTGTCATTTCCTTTGTGTGCGGTGTAGTTTATGAACAAGAATTTAAAAATTCTAGGGTTCTAAATGAGGTAAAAAAACGAGTACGTGTTTTTGTGAGAGGTGATTTGTGATGATTGAATACATAAATGAAAATTTACATATTTTTATGGTCATGTGAGAGAAATCACAGGAAGACTTTTAAATCAAAGACATTCCAAATTATTAAAAATATACAAAACAAATTGACCGAACACTTTGTGATGATTCAACTCTTCTTTTTCCACCAGTTTCTCTTAATCTTGATAATCAAGATTAACTGTCAATCAAGAAGACTTGATTTTAGACACTCTTCCGCCATCAGTTCTTTTTACTTGACCTATACTAGAGTAGTCTTGCCAATCTGATTAAAAACAAAACGATATTCTTTCACACTTAACAGTTAATCTAAGATGAAATAATGAAAGAAGTGATGAGTTTGTTCCTCCAATATAAACCAATACAAAATAATACATATTCTTGGATCTATGTTGCCACATTATCCAAAACTTGTGGTCACTTAGATCTTTATTTCTGTTCCTGTCTCATCTTTGCTTTTTCAATTACTTTTCCTAAAAGTTTTACTTCTAAAGATTCTTTTTAATACCTACATGTGTCTAGGCTGTATGACAGAATTGGAACTAAAGGTAGTTTATGTAAGCGTAAATAATACATGTAACAATCACTATTTGTAATCATTGTCTTGGACTGTAGGCTCGAGGGTTGGTGTACAAGTTCCGAGAACGCCCTGTGATACCCTGTACACTGGTAGGACTATGTCAGCTGTGCGGCACTGGTATGTGGGACTCATCACATGTCCCCACTGTCGTCTGCCGCGGCAACAGCATCACACCGTGCCCCCAGGACCCATGTCCGTATCGAGGCATCACCACCAACGGGTAGGAGGGAAACTGTTAAATATAACCTTTGAGACAACTAGACATACCATCCCCATGTTAAAGTTGTTACCAGTTCCAGAATTAAAATAGTTGAACTGAGCCTTAGACAGTAAGCTGATGTAAATTTCTGATAAGACTTATTGTCAGCTTCAGTATCTTTTATACCACATCTATTATCTCAGGAACAAAAACTTAGGGAGAAAAAATGCACTCTGTTAGTGGCTCATTCAACTATCATATTGAATTAAAAACCGGCTACAACTGGTCCATGTTGATGGGATGTCTACTTCAGCACCCAAAAGTCAATCTTAAACAATGAAAATTTTTATATTTTTAAATATATTTTTTGTGTGACACAACTCTCAAAAACTAATAGAGCTGTTGGTGTTCTGGGACAGAGATTTAGTTATTAAAACAATGGCTGATATTTCAATAATATTTAAAGTTATCGGTAATAGGCATTTAAACTATGTATTAAATAAATTCAGACTACTTTTTTTTTAAGTATTTTTAACAACACTTAAGTATTTTCCGATCATAATTTGTTAACCAAAATAAATTTTTTGTCAACCTGGGCCAAACATTATTGATTTCTCTTAAGCTGAAAACGTGTGTTAAAATCAAAAGTAACTTTTAATATATGTTTATTCCTTGTTTGATTGTTTACAACCATGCATGTTTGATTGTTTTTGTCATATTGCAACAAAAACATCCGTTTTTAATGCATGCGTTATGGGTCTAAGTAGAATTTTTAGTCTCTAGGGAGATCTTTGTGGTCAAATGGCGAGTGTAGGTCACGGAATACTATTTTCCCGACTGCTCAAATGGCAACCTATATTCGCCGAAAAATGAAAAAATTTAACCTCAAAGGGTTAATTGTGGTACTAAATAGACAATTTAGAGTCAGCAACTGATATTATTAATTTAGATTATCAATTATAATTAGAGTCAGCAACTGACATTATTAATTACATTAATCTGTCACTACCATTCCTTTAGTTCTTTTTTATATTACACATTGAAGTTTTTACAAAAAAAGCTAATAATACTTGATTACTTTCAGGGAATGAAGACTGATCTCAACATATCAACACTACCTTGCCTTCCAAGCCAAGTATGTACTTTTGGATTTAAACGTTTTAATAATAGACAAGTTATGGCCATTACTCATTATAGTAACATGTGCCCTGCATATCAACAATTTATTGTACATTGTAATGAAAATTAAACAAATATTATTTATTTACACAGGCAAGGTTAGGACCACATGGTCCTTTCTTACACTTAACCCGTTCATAAATATGAAACAAATATTTGAATTATTAAATAATTTAAATATTGTAATAGTCACTGGGGTTAATTTATGAACAATGTCTGTAAATATTAAGAAACACTATCACAGTGCTGGTACACAAATATTGGTGCTTTTTTGTTAATTCACTACCACTACTTTTTAATTGCAATTCCGTCTATTCACTACCAGAATTTCTTCACAATCAGAAAGTTTGATAGGGAAAGTTTGAGTTAGGTCTGATATATTCATAGACTAGGCTAACTATTAAAAAATATCGGAATTGCGATAAAAAAGTTGTGTAGTGAATTAACGGACACAAATTTTTGGTGGCTTATAATGTAAATGTAACAGGGTGTCCACTGACTGGGAAAAACGGGCATTATGCATAATTGTTGTATTTTACCAGGAATTTTTAATTTGCCGCGATCACGCATAAAGATGACGTTTCCGTGACTGCAGGAGACAACGATGAAATTTCAATGGCCGCGGGACAGGATTTATGATGTCCAAACTCCAAATGGTTGCGGGATTTGTAGTGATTTTGCCAAGATCGTGCATAAAGATTACGTTTCCGTGACTACGGGAGACGACGATGACGTTTCTGTGACCGCGGGAGACGACGACGACGTTTCCGTGACGGCGGGACACGATGACGTTTCCGTGACTGCGGGAGACGACGATGACGTTTCCGTTGCCCGGAGATGATGATGATGACCAAACTTCAAACAGCCGCAGGATATGTTAGTGATATTCTGCAATCGCGCATGACGACGTTGACGTTTCCGTGATCGCGGGAGACGACAATGACATCTAAACTCTAAACGGCCGCGGGATTTTTTGATGATTTTGCTGCGAATGAAAAATTCCAAAATGACACACTTTTAGAAAGTTTTATTGATATATATTTTTTGTAATATCTTCATTTACCATTATCGTGGAAGCTATTTAATGTGTTTAGAAGGGTTTAAAACTTAAATTGGCTATGTGAATTATTCGTAATATCTGCATTAATTATTTCTGTAGGCTTCTTGAAAAACAACCAATAACTCCAAAATCACATATAAGGCCTATATGAAAGTACATAAAGAATGGGGTTGGTGTAGTAACCCTTACAGAAAATTCAGTAAAATTAAAATCATCAGTAATTAGAATCTATTTTTTAGGTGTCGGTACGGAGATTCGATACATTTTTAAGATGTTAGTGATTGTAGGTTTAAGGATTAGTTTGTAATGTTCTGATTATTTAATCAGTATTATATAAAAATTGCATACTTGTGTCAGGTAATATTACAGTAATCATAAATTTTGTTTCTTTAACTGAGAATGCTTTTTTCCGATAACTAACTAAAATAGCGAACTGGGTTAATGCTAAAACAGCATTGTGAGAGTTGGCGCAAAAGCGCGTTGGGAAGTTTAGTATGAAAAGTACGACCTGAACTACCTGGAATTACTCATGAATTTTTCTGGTATGCCTGGTGGACACCCAGTAGTAACAAATTTTTATCTTAAATTTCATTGGTATTTAAACATTCAATGGGACTTTTCTTCAGTCCAAAATTGAAGTCTAAAGAGCTAGGATTAATTTACAAATTTGTGGCGAATCACACATAAACACAAGCTTCAGGTTTTACTATATGATGAGAAGTCTACTTGTGTTGGTTAATGTCTATGTACTTGTGTTGGTTAGTCTATGGTTATACCTAGCTGTATTGTTTTTCAACAAATCCTTTTTATTGTTAATTTCTGTTTGCAGATCATTCCGTTTGAAAGCTAGTCACATTGAACGTAACATCACTACTGTACTTTCATCTTCCTAGTTGAATATTTTATAGTTTTAGTAGTAGGTACCTATAACCCCTTAGGAATTTAGCCAAAGATTTTACTAAAATATTAAATGTGCTTACTTGTTACCTGAAGTAATATACTATCTTACCAACAGTTTTACGTTTCTCTGACATAGTTCTTTCAGATCTGTGTAGTTTTTATCAACACTGTTACCATATCTTTGTGTTTTATTGCTAAAAATGTTTCATTGTTAACTGTGATAATACATGGTTTTAATTGTTGTGATCCAGAAAGTTTTACCAGTTTGACTGTTATTTATTGTAATGTTACAATTTAGGACAAACAGATAGATCATGGAAATGTTTTTTTAATGGAGAAAGCACAGAAGAGACAATAATATGTTGAATTTTTTCTTGTTGCTTCCAAAAGCTATTTGCCAAATCTCCTCTGGTAGCATACTAAATATATTTGACCGTTACATTTTTTGTTAACCCTCCAGTACTTGCTAATAGTAACACCAGTACACGCGTGCGGACTGACAGTCCGCGTCTTACTCCTTACTGGAAACTCCCTTTTATATACCTAATAAAGTTCATAATAGCATCATCATTTCAAATAATCCAAATATAGGTAAATAGATATAAAAAAAAACTTCAAAATAATTACAAATATTTTAAATTGCAAATATCATGTTGAAAACCAAGAAGTCAATCGCTGGCCTGTTCTTCATCCTCTTGAAACATGACGTGTTTAACTTAACAAACTCGTAGCTAAGGGCCAACTGACGCCAAGACTGTCAAAACACCGCCATTGTCCTTGGAAAGGTAGTGGGGAAGGTGGATGACAGGTCATGTAATTTGCTCGTGGATTCACTTATTTCGACACGATTTTTCAAATTTGTGGACTCTGAGTCCGCGGCACGTGTACTGGAGGGTTAATTTTATTGCATTGCTTCTGGTTGGCAGTCACTGTAAGTAAGTTGGATACTTTAGTTAAGGATTAATTAAAAAGTTAGATCATGTGTAAGTCGTTAGATGCTCTACCCAAAAATCAACCAATTGATTCACCGGTAACAGAGAAACCCAATCCAATAAAAAATATGCTATCCAATAAAAAAATGTTAAATTATGTTGGTACTGTATGTTATTCAATATTTGTAAATAAATGCTTTTACATTTTGTTATCATATTTTGTTAAGTTTTGATGTTCGTATATACTTAAGTGCATTATTCAGCTGTAGAGATTATGTGAATTTTAAAATAACAATTTTCAAGATTTTGTAGTAGGGACATGTTAATATTTACTAGGATTAGTGGGATTTCTTTCATAGCAGTGAAAGCCAGTTGAGCGGAGCGATGACGTTTTATGATTTTTTATAAAGCAATAAATAAATAAAAATTTAACTTATAGCTTTGCTCAGAACTATCAACATCTATAAGAAGTTTCATTAGTATATGTGGACATTAAATACAAATTCTTTGTATCGGTATTTTTCCTGTGTTTGCTTGCTAATGTCATCTGGTGAACCCACAGTTCTGGTTGAACCCGACCTTGAAGCTAAACCAACTGACATTTTCTCATTCTTGGCCAGATTTTGCAATTCGAATTCAGGCAGAAATAATCCTTCATTGATCCATACAATTAGCAGATGTAACCTTTTGAAGACTTGCCTGCTTTGAGAGAATTGCACAAGTAGTTGTCACCATGCCTTATGAGGTTTGTTTTTTAAATTTTGTACATTCAACTATCTCAAAACATTGCCAGAAGTAGTTGTTTGTGTGTTTTGGGGTTTATTGCTCGTCTTCATTTTTTACAAATATCAGGCAGTTTTTGAGAATGCATTCTGAAATTTTCCGTAATATGACACTGTTATGCAAATTAGGTATTTTCTTGTAAAACAAAAACGCAAAAAATACTTTATCCTTGAATAAATGTGTTAGAAAGTTTGCATTGAAGTCGATTCCAAAGAGCTTTGCTCCGCTCAATTAGCACGATTACGCTATAACTTTATACAGCTACCTCTACAATCAATCAATATTTATTTCTCCTTTGACCAATTTTGTGGAACTTGAAATATTTTTAAATTTGTAATGTTGTTTATTAATACTTTTAGAGAGAAACTGAAAATATTTTAGTCAGTTGTTAAGTTTACTCTTTAGCATGCTATTTTCCAATGCAATTTAGTTTGAAAATATCTTATTTACACCTGGTAGTTCCAATTCAATGAAGCATTCATTCAATATCATGTATTGTACTGTATCTAGTTGTAAAATACTCAGAAGTATTTTAATATTTTCCGGCTGTATTTTAGGATTGATTCCAATTTACCATGTAGAACTATGGAAAACAGAGGCTTGGACCTAAATATTTTGATACATGGGAAGTATTTATAGTTAGAGTATAACAACTGACAGAGAATCATAAGGTTTTTTCCATTGAGATGAATAGATTATAACTGTAGTCACTACTCTCTGGTTGGACACTAGAAAAAAATGTGCCATCAAGATGGCCGCTTGTTGCCGTGTTTTGTTGGTCACACTGTCTCGGTTGGTTGGACTTGTCAAAGTAACCCCATCTGATTGGATCAAATTTGACAGCTATCCAACCAACCAATCATATGGTCAACATAACAATAAGAACAACTGAAAAAAAACATCAAAAAGAGTGGTACACTTTTTTAAACAAAGTGGTGACTCCAGTTATAATCTATTCATCTCAATGGTGGTTTCATTGTGATGTATTTGGCTCAGCTGATTTTATTTATTCATTTCAACAATATGATGTATTACTAAATTTAATTTTTTTTTATAAAGTATAAAAAAATGCAAGACCCTGGAGGAATCCTTGCGATATACTTACTCTGAAGAGCAAACTTAAACAGTTGACGTAAACATTGCTTTCATACAAGGTTTTTCAGAGAACTGATTAAGACTTAATATATTGTTAGAACGTTAGAAAATATCAATATAGCTACTATGGAATAAATTTTCTACTATGGATTTTAAATGTTATTTATAATCCAATTACTAATGTGTGATTGAATTATATTTCATTGCATTCTATTGAGCTTACAACATTGAATGTAGGCCTAATGTTTCTTGGCTATTATCACTATTCTATTTGCTAATGCTACTTTATGACTATGTTAATATGTTGTTCTGTTGCTTTATTTTGATCTCCATAGTATATTGTAATGACTCATTGCACTTAAGTTTTAGTTAAATGTTTTTATTATATGATGTTAATGTTTGATCTATTAAAGCATGTTAAACTAAATCAACTTATTTTGTATTAAACCCTACATCCATTCAGTAACATTTAGCTAATGGTACTTGTTGTGTTTTTTTAGCTTGGTGTGAGATTTTTACCATCCCAAATACTGATTTCCTCTTTCACAAAACATGAATAAAGCATTTTACCTAAATGCCACATAAATTTTGTTACTAGTGTTTGGGAATTTGATGTAGTTGGGACAGGTTTAACCCATTGCTGACTGAGTTATTTGGCAATCAACACAGTTGAAATTGAGTAAAAATGGGTGTAATGTTTTAGTAAAAAACTCAGTAAAATGTAATTTACGAAGCACTGACTAACATGTTTATATTGATCTACATAAAATTTCCTTTTTCCACTAATTTTAAATATAGTATTTTATAGTGACTTTCAATACATATGTATATAAAAATGCATATATTATATGCAGTTTAATATTTGTATGAAAGAGACATATACAACATATATTTTTTGTAACCAAACCTTACAAAAATTATTGATTTTTTAAATCTATTTCTTGGTCAACAGTTTTCAATTTATTACATACTAGCTGGCCCGACAGACGTTGTCCTGTCCTAATGTGGTTTTATGTCAAATGCTCGTTCTTTTTCAAGATGATGCATACGGTAACTCAATCACGTCCTGGTTGAAGTTCGTTTTCTACGCTCACTCACCTTTAGGTTGGAGTTCGTTCGCTGCGCTCACTTGCCTGGAGTTTTGCTCATTCGCTACGCTAACTCGCCTCCAGGTTGAAGTTTGTTCGCTATGCTCACTCACCTTTTGGTTGCAAATTAGCTGCTGTCATAAATTTAAAAAATAATACAGTAGAGCTGCGCCCTGTTGGTAAACCTATTAACTTTTTAATGCTATTGAACATCACAGAATCAAATTGTTTAGTTGAACCAGCTGTTAAGTTTCTTTAATTCCATTTAAATATGAGTACTCATAAGGTTAACATGGGAAACTCCAGAGCCACTGGGGCGGAGCCCTTTTGACGGATCTGCACCAAACTTCACACAAACCATCCTTGAATAATGCTTAATAATGCCTGAAAGTTTCATTACAATCTGTTGAGCGGTTTCGGAGTCCATAAAGGATAAACAAACTAATAGACAAACAAACAAACATACATTGGATTTTAGCGAATTTCCCATATAGGGAATAAACTATTACCGTAGTACTCATGGTAAGACCTGGACCCGGGACCGATTTACTTTTTCGTTTTGAGGTCCCTAGAGGCCAAAAACACCATCCGTTCAAATTCATATATATATATGTATGTGTCCGTTAGCACGATAACTCGAGCAAAAATGATCCGATTTTGATGAAATTTGGTATAAACATGTAAACCTACATTTATTCGAACGAGTTCGCGAACCATCATGATCGGACTATGGGAATGGGGGTTTATGGGGGGTTTTATGGGGTAAAAATAGGTTTTTCCCATTTTTGACCCTAAAAACACAAAATTTCACAATTTCTTTCCAAACCATTTTGTAGAGCTTAAAAAACAAATAATTTAGTATATTGAAGCGTTGTTGTGCGCCTAATGGTTACGGAGAAAATTCTAAAAAATTGTAAATTTAAAATTCCTATGTTATTCTTATGGGGAATAAGTCAACTGTTGTAGTTTGCTTGTTTATGAACATATTTTGATAGAATATGTAAAATACATTCATTTCTTACTAGGCTAAACTATTAACATTTTACAAAAAAAAAACACCTTTTTACCCTCCCTGTTGCAGCAAACCTAAGTACTCGTTAAACTAATTCTATTTAAATACCGGGAATAAATGTGATATTTTTCAGGAGGCATTTTAGTGTAAATCCAATCAGGCAAATGGAAATTCGCTTAGTCTGCAGGTTTGCTGCGGCGGGGTTTTTATATATATAGATAAAACTTTAGGTCCCTATTTGGTTTGTTTATATAAAATCCTTCATTTTATAGCTGATTTTTTTTTAACTGCAAAATGACAAAAATAGGCCTAATACAATTTTTGCACCGAAATTGCATGTGTAGGCCTACTAAGTTATGATGTTGTGAGTATTGAAATAAATGTAAAATTATATTCTAAGCATGATTATACATTAGGGCTATTAATTTTTCAACTAACAATAAAAATGGGAAAAATTAGGTAGGCCTAAGTCATAAAAATAAGGAAGTCAATAATAATGCATAATAATAATACATTATGCGTGAGGACAGACGCTGAAAATCTTTAGTGTTTC